TGCTTCCAGGCTTGGCAGCGACGCTGGGATCGTTGTGTTCACTCCCAGGGGAACTACTTCGAGGGTGATGGATGAATTTAATACCTGAGATAAGTGTATGGGTTTTTATAGGCGCAGTCTGGAAACTTTCCGATCGCACCTCGTATAACTGGAACCATTGTTTAAAAAAATAGTAGGAGATTTTTTTTTTTATTTGTAGTGTTCTGTCTGACGACAGGTCCATATATTATGAACAGGATCCTTCCAACCTCTTCAGGTTGTCAGGGACCTGCTCATACATATATACATTCTTGGCAGAGATGATCAGAAGTGGTTTGCCATTGCCTTCTTCTGTGTGTGAGTGGAGTAATTGTTGGGATGCCACGGAGAAACCGGGGAAGCCCCCGGAGGAAAACTCCGTGATGCCTAGACCACGGCCTTGCCTCTGGTTTTCAGATGATAAAATGAGTGCAACCTTTACTGACCCAAATCAGTGTCTGCTGAACTCAATCATTAAAAGAAAGTGAGAACATCAGTATTTAAACATAGGTACAGTACACTGTTGGAAATTGAATCATACATATGGAGGAGATGACATAGTAAAGTTTTAAAATTATATTCACATTAAAATATTTAAAAATAACCGTCAATCACAATAAAATTAAAAGATTAAAATATATATATTTTAATCTTTTAATCTTTTAATTTTATTGTGATTGACGGTTATTTTTAAATATTTTAATACTATTAATTCACAATATGACGCATGTACAATACCTTATATTCACATTACTTATTATGTTATTGCATCACTGTGTTTGTGTGTGTGTGTTGTCTGTCTTTACAGCCATTTGGTGAAGGTTTGATTACAGTGGTTGTGCCACAGTTGCGAAGAGGGGAAAATAGCCTCCTGCTGTGGAATATTGCCAATCAGACAGCTCCAGTTCACACGTTTGTAGGACATACAGATGTTGTACTGGAGTTTGAATGGAGAAAACGCAAGGAAGGTCAGTATTTTTCACAATGTAAGATTTTTTGTTAATGCCAGTAATATTAGTGACATCCAAAGATTAAGAATATCACAATACATTACTAAGTAAACAATAATGTGGGTGTTGCAAAGTTTATTATTTTTAAGTGGGTATTATGAAGGTGTGAAAATATTTAAACATCCTCAACACTTTCAGTATTATCTGAACTGAAAAGTTACACAATATTTTGTACTCAGAACTTATTGCTTATTACAGCCACCCTTTACAAGCAAAAAGTCTGAATCACTATTTCTTGCATACTTGCAAATCCCCACATTTGACCCATGCATGTGCATATATTACATTTATGGAAATAAATGTTTCAGCATGTATGGAACATGTATAACAGATATAGTGCATGAAGATAAGTATAACATACATCCATATGCTATAATAAGGGCTTGTTCTAGACCCTGTGATTGGGATGCACAGGTCTTCCATCACATAGAACAGCTGATGGTATTTTGTCTTTGTTATTGAAAATGGTGAACTGTGTTGAATAAAATCCATACCATCTTCCTGTGTTGCATTATGACAAGTTGACTACTTAATGTAGATATATTAGTTCAAGCTTTATGTCTAAGCACTTCTGTTTTTTGTCATAATTATTGTTGAAGAACCTTTAGCATAAAGAACTGAAAGCATGACCACAGAATAATTTTCAATACTTATTTGCTAGGCTAGTGACATTAATGAAACAAGTAGATGTTTTAATACATCTTTAGCATGACCTGAAGGTGGAGTGTCAACATCAGTTTTTTTAAGTTTGTCTATGGACACATGCAGATCATTTAAACGTGTGTTAGCAGAGCCACATTATGTTTCCTTTTGGGACACACAAGATTGTTATTTCGGAACTAACCACCCCACCACTCGCCTACCAGTTAGTTCACTGTTTTTTAGTAAGACAGACTTCTATAACTTAAGTCACTGTGACTGTTCCCTGTCTAGCTTGCTTAGCATGAGACTGTCTCCCCTATTCATGTGTGATAATTCCCATGATAATGTTGTTCCTATTCTTATGGTTTGATACCAAGAAATTGAGATTAGAATGTTAAGATATGTATGACATTGGAGATTGAAAATGTGTTTTTTTAAACATTGAAATGGTGTTAAATGGCAAAGAATTGTTTGGTTATTTGATTATGTGTCATATGCTATGGTTATGTATTATTTTGTGAGAAATTATAGGATAATTGTGAATGATAAAAAATGGAAGCATTGGTGACCAGGTACTGGTACATGGCACTATCTCAGATTTTTCTGGATGGACTTTGGAGAACCACAAAAATCTTTTTCTGGATAGCTGAGATTTGAACCAGATGCCTCCAAGATGTGGGTCAGATGTGTTGTTGCTGCACTAACCTTGTTCAGTAATAGCATAGGGGTGATATGTGGCTGTGGCAAGTCAGGGTGATTGCCTTGTGTCTGGCACATGGTAAGGAAATTTGTTTAATTTGCTGTTTGTGTTTGGTTGACACATGTGTAATTCAGTTTAAAGTTAAAATATTAATATATACTCAATTGTCATTTTGTTGAAATGCACTTTTTAGTTTTTCTTTCAACCTTCTGAGTGCTTCAAAAATATATTTGTTATTATTGAATTAAATTGAATTGAATTACAGAGAAAGTACTTGTGAATGTTGTTAATGGTGAGTTTTGTGTTTACATCTGTTTATTTCTGTTAGGCCTGTGTGTGTGTTGAATATTTTTAATTTAATCAAGATAAAAATCTTGATACAAACCCTTTGTTTTCATTCTCGAACTATGAGAATATTCAAATAACTGCTCTTGCTTTGTTCAGGAGCACACAAACTACCTGATTCAGCTGAATCATAACTGTTGGCGTGAATCAACTTGTCAGCAAAAATCTGACTTCTCTCTTTCTTCATCTTTATGTATTTCTGTATGCAGTGTTGGGACTTTATGTTTCTAATCACCTACTCATTATCATCATTGCCAGCATACAAGTAGTACAAGTTCTTACTCTCATCCCTTCTCATTGTAATATAATGAAACTCTGGTAAATGCAAGCATAAGAAGCTGAATACAAACAATTTTCTACCTCATTGTTAACTGTCAGATTTTCATAGACATATGAAATTAATTCTCATGTGTTCACAACCCTTTAGTGTGCTCATGGTATAATACCCATTATATAGCATAATATTTCAAATGGTATATTTAGTTTCCAAAGTTAATAGGTAACTCATGGATTTATCAGAACATTTTTTCTGCTACAGACAAATTGTGCATGTGAGACAAAAAATGTAATTCTGTAAGTGTACAGTCAACTTTTGTAACATCTGTGAGATTTGATGTTCCCATGATGATGAATATGAAGTTGGCTGTCTTCTGGAATGTAGCACTATGTAGTCTGGTAGACATTGACTGAAATTTCAGAGACACTTACTACCTCCTTCATCAGCCTGATCGTAGTGCTACATCCCAGAAGACGGCCATTTTCATGTTGAAACATTGATATGTTATGTCCATAATGCCAGTAGCATATTAGACCATATACTAGTTTTGTGTTAAGTATTCCACTAAATTGGCTAGTCAGAGGGGGAGAGGATGGAGTTTAAGGGTCCAAATATTCAGTTTGCAGCCAGAAACAATCGCTCAGCACTTGTCGCTTCTTCTCGCTGGTTCTAATTAGGGGACATTAACAGGCTAAAAACAAAATAGGCATCTGCGGAACACCCATAAACTGGGAAATAAAATAGAAGTGTATTACCTTCAAGCAAAATTCTTCATTCTAGATGAAGATTGTGGGGAATGAAGATATAGCTCCATTCATGTATGTATATATCTTAAATTAAAGAGCAGTGTTGACAAAAGTCATGAGTTTTATTATTCCATCAGAATAAAATATTTCTGGTTATTTCTATGACTTGCTAATGCTCCTAAACTTTATTATATGTTACATTCAATGTCCATCTTGAACATGTATCACCAGCAATGCTTGTATGCCTTCCTTTGTAAAATTTCCTCTAGCTCATGTAATTCCATAAATTTGACAACTTTTCATGCCATCTAACCACAAGAACTTGATCATAGATCTATGTTTATCTTTGATGTATTTTGTCAGTAGAGCAGCAATATTATAAATGTGTCACAGTATTATCACTGCTCAAATAACAATAAAAAGCAGGTAAGTACAAACGGGAAAAGGTTCATGTTGTTAGAAGTGGCCATTATTATCAGTGCTGCCAGCATTATTTTTGAGGTAAAATAAAGTGTATTTTATTGTTTTACTTTACCTTGTTGTGTGTGTATGCAAATTGTAACTAGTTCACCTTGTTAAAGTGGGGTTAATGCACTAATAAGAACTGGGTGCATATATAAAGAGAAGAAATGATAGAATATTGTTTGTTTTGCCTTTCAGTACAGGTGTATAAGGTTGAAGTTAACATCTTTGTTCCCTACCACTTACACTTGTATTATGCTTTAGCATAATATCTGTTTTAGTTTGTATATGTCAAATAAAACTTTTAGTTGTTTTACTATTTACAGCATTATATTATTAGTGAAATTGTACTATCATTACCATGTGACTTGAACAGCCAAAGATTTTTTGTTTCAGATACTTCGGACTATGAATTAATAACATGGTCAAAGGATCAGACTCTACGAATTTGGAGAATAGAGCCATTTTTACAGAAGGTATTTATTTGTGGTGATTTGTATGAATATTATTGATAAGTTGGTTTCTTTATTACAGCAGTTATGTTTTAATGAATGTGAATTAACTTTTTATATAGCTGTGTGGACATGAACGAGATGCCAGTCGTTCTATGGATATACAAGAAACCGAAGATGCCACTGCAGTTAGAACAACCATAGGTAAGTATAGTCCACTACTGTAATCTTGATACTTGCAAGGAATGCAGGAAGTCCATAGCGTTAAAGGCAGACGCTATCTTTCCTCCTTCACCCCACGTCCTCACCCTGCAAGTCTCATGAATACAGTCGTGGACTGTAGACAGTATGGCATGGGAATATTACAGAAACTGAGCATTGTCTGTAAAAATTAAATAATTTCTTCACATAATTTTAGCTTTGATGTACTTATTGAATATTTTTCTGAGCAAGCATTTTTGAAAAAAAATATGCTATTGCACCATTTATATGTTACACATGGTTTTATTAATTGATTACTTGAAGCATCTCATATAATGCTTTTTAATTGTTATTTGTACTTGCTCCCTAATTATACTTGTCACTCTGTGGTGACCATATCCATGAGTGTTATTTATTGGAACTTACTTCATATCAACATGGATTGATCCTCAAATTATTGTTAAGGACATAATTTGGTCTTTAACCCTTTTTTGGTAAGCAGCATACGTGAAAGCATGATTTTGATACAAGAGCAGCATTACAGTAAAATTGGTGTTATAGTAGAGAAAGAGCCAATTTTGTCAAGCTTTACACTTTCAGCAAATGAGGTCCCTTTTTAACATTTTTCCTAGAAGCATTGTATTTAAATATTATACCAGCAGAAATGGAGACAATTTTAAGACTTGCCTGATGTGGAACCAAACACATTGAACAGCAAATGAAAAAACCTTTGCATTAATACAGATGTTTATGCAATGAAATTTCAGCAAAAGAAAGATTTTATGTGCAAGAAAATTACATTACACAAAAATAAATATGTATGAATTTTTCATGGATTTCACAACCTTAGATATTATACATCTCCTTGTTGAAAGTCTCTGGGTCTTCCACTAGTGAAAGCAACATTTACAGTGCTGTTTCAATACAAGGTTTTTATTTTCTGGTTTTTGTTCTGTGAGAGAAAACAGGGTTTGCAAATCTCTTTCATCTATCTGTGAACTAACCACATTGGCTATGACTGTCAGTGTGGTAGAAGAACCCAAAGACTATTCAACACCAAAATTACTGGAACCTGCTGTGGGACAGTCATGTCCATTGTATAATTGGAAAAATTTGGATAATAATTAGTAGTATTCCTCCATCAGAATTTTAATTGTTTAACTGTCGTCACTCAGTAATTTTACATTAAGTAACTGTATGCCCTTTGACACATTCCTTATTTAATGTAATATTAATGTGCCAAAGGCCTAAAGTTATTTAATCTAACATTGTTGTAGAGGTGGTTAATAATTTTAAATGTTAATAAATGATGCTAAAATACCATCTGTACTCCACTATTATTTTATTCTTTGATTTTTTTTGTAAGTTTTCGTGAATGGAAAGAAAGACATGGATGTTTTAATTGTCTTTTAAATGCATCTTTATTTTGTTAAGAAGTATGCTTTTACCTCTTATGAATATATCCACAGAAATGTTATATCTTTCTGGAGACTTTGTAATAGTTTCACTTACTGCAGATGTCTCTTACCTCCATGATTTATGCTATTGCATTATGAAGAGCTGACTTGTGATCATGTAGAATAACTGCCTTAATGGCAACTCTGGCAGAATAATTGCTGTGGAAATGAATTAATTGATACATATAATTATCAGAATAGGTTTCACTTGTGTCAAGTGACATGTGAGAGGCAAAGGGCACAAGTATTGTGTCTTTATGTCCCAGATCATGTAGTTTGTTTCAAATCCGTGTAGGTACTGAAATGACAGAAGTGCACTCTAAATGTTCTTTCATTGTTGGCTATGTGTGAGTGCTTTTTAGTTCAGTAACATTTATTTCTTAGGTTAGAGTATATAAAACACCCTTCCGTTCTAAAATTATGTTTTCCCTCAGAACATCTCCCTTATCTGTTAATTTGTGTTCTCCTAGGCAGCTACTTGACCTGGTTCACTACTCCTTAGTAGTATAACTATACATGCCAGTGGGATAAATTACATACAGATATCTTTGTAAGCTAAATAACAGTGTGTGTGTGTGTATTGCTGTGTTTTATTGATTTGTCTTAAAATTATGTAAAACACAAAGAGTTTGACATTTTTACCTGCAAACTTATTTAATCATTTCAAATACTCCCAGAATTTCGGTATGTAACATTTGATGCAAGAAATCAATATATGTTCTCAGTAGTCTGTATTTTACTTTATTACAGTTATGCATAAACACTTCGAAATTTCTTTTAACCGTCCACCACATTTTTAAGTATCTGCGTTCAAATAATTTCAGTTGTGGAACAAGCATTGACACACCCCCTTCAAGATTTGAGTCTAGAAAATGAATCAGGAATGTCAGACATGTCAAACAGCCTGATACTGGATGAGGGCACTGATGTAAGCCTTGGAAACCCACCAGACAGGGAAGTGAATCCTTCTCCCACTCAGCCAAAGACACTCCAGCAGGAGTTCTCACTTATCAATGTGAACATGCCAAATGTTCAGATGGATGTGGTAAGATTATCCTTGGTGTGTTGCTACTTTGTGCTACGTGTCAGGGATCAGATTCTTCTAGAAACTAAAGATATACCCATAATGAATAAAATCCGGAATCCCAGCTTGTTGTATTTATATATTGAAAGTGATGTCAGTATCTTTTTGGGTGCTGTGAATAAAATTATAGAAACAGTTGTTGGTTTTATGAGTGAGGTCCTAGGTTTTTTCATTCTAGTCTCATGATGCATTGTAGATCAAGCAGGATGCACTACATATAACAGTATTATTAATGTTGCCAGCATAACTTCGAATAGGATATTACATTTTCACATGATATTTGTAATTATTTTTCACAGAGACAGTCACTGACCTTCTGTAATATCATTGAACTTTCTGATTGTGTCATAATAGGTGTAATGGATTAGCTGTTTGTAATCACTGGAAATTTGCACTTACTTTGTATGAAGTATATGATGCTCATCAAACAGCAAAATAGGAGTGAGCTTCCACTGGTAAATATCAGGCTTAATATCTGTTGCAATTAGCGTGCGTCGCTTCAAGTGTTCATCAGTAAGATCCATCCTGGTTCTTGATTTGATATTCTTCATTAAGCTGTACAGTTGCTCACAGCAAAAGGTACTGACAAGTAGTGATGACATTATCAAGGCATGTTTTCCAATATCAGGTAAACTATTCTTCATTGTAGAGGGTGACACAAATTACAAAAAATGTTTGTGGGCTACACAAAACACATTGGCAGACCATGCCTGGCTTGTGGGCCACAGGTTGACAGCCCATCCTTTTTAAGAACTGTGTTAAAACAGCATTTTATGAAGAAGTATTGAGCTGTCCAACAATATTTCAATGGTGTAAAAGTTTAGGAAATTCAAATGTCAGTTGAGGATGACAAGTGTTCAAGAATTACATAGTATTTGCTTAGAATGATAGCCTCAGCATAGAATGATAGCCCGAATGTGCACCCTTTTCAAAGCATACACGGGGGGCCAGGCTTGGAAAACGATAGAGGATAGATTACTAAAGCCATGCTATCTGGGCAGGGACGATCATAGTCGAAAAATTAGGACTAGGAAACAAAGAACGGATGTTGGCAAATATTCCTTTATAAATAGGACCATAAGAAGCTGGAACCAATTACCTCCAGGCATGCTAGAGTCTTTCCCCTGTAAATTAAGCACCTTTAGAAAGAGGGTCAGAAAAGTAGTTACAAGCAAGGGGTTATTAAGTGGGGATTAGATGGTGATGAGGGAAGTGAAGTGTCTTTGTCTTGAAGTGATGAAGTGCTTTAGTTCTTTGGGATAAATGTTTCATGTACTGAGGTTTGACTTTATATTCTACTCTAAAGTATTGTGATTAATTAATGGATGTGTGTTTATGTATGTGTGTCCATGTAAGGTGCAATGTTTTTGTAGGGGTGGATGTCTAGTTATGTGTGTAGGGTGTTCTATGGAGTGTACTTGTTTATATTATATGTATTTTGTTGTAATTGTGTAGTGTAAGGACCACTGCTACCGGGTGCAGTAAATAAATAATAATAATAATATAGGTTCATGCTGTCAGCTTATTAATAAAGTTAGCATTTCATATGATACATGTCAAGCTTTCATCAGTAATGACTTGGTTATGTGCTGTATGTCTGAAAGATTTGTACTGGGATTACAGTTTGATAAAAAGCAGCATTACATGGCTGTCTTCATTCTTGTGCCACGGCAGATCCAACTTCCTTACCAACATGATATCTTGTTATGAATCTGGGACTTGTGCCTCAGATCCAAAAGTGAAGCAACAATCCTCATTGAAGAATTATAGTTCACTGTATCTGTAAAAAGCACAGCAGGTCCATTTAAATATTTGTGTTATTTGATCACAGGGCCTATCTAAACTTGAGTACTTTCCTGTAGATCATTCTGTGAGTCAGACATTTTATTGAGGGCTTATAGCATGTTTGCTTGATTTAGTTAAAAGGAAACAGAGAAAACATAGAAAAACTGTGCCATTCCCTTGCAGCCTGTTTGTACAATCAGTTCTGCTTTAATGTGGTACTTTTGTTCATGAAAAATCTTGCTTCACAGAAAAATCATATTATAAAAGTAATTGATCTGGTAGGAATAAAGAAAAGAAAGATGCTGAAGCACTTTTCTTACACTGCATCTCTTACTTTGTGCCTAATTACTATGTGCTTTGTCACAGTATATATTCAGATACACCTGCAATATGAAAATAGTGTTTAGTGGTACCTCCATTGTGTTAATCCAAAATGCATAATGAAAACTTATCATAACAGAACAAATTGTATTTGAATATCTGGTGATAAAACATCCAGTCCACTTCCCTGATGTGGCTTCTTGTGAATTCATTCACTTTCCTAAATTGAAAGCTAAATTTAATGGATGATTTAACAGTAATGGCATAATTGAAAACTTGATGAAGGAAGCAGGAGTCATTCCAAAAGAAGCATTCAGACATGCTTCAGGAAGTGACAGGATTGCTGGAATTCAACTTTCAGTCACAAGGAAACTATTTGAAGGTTCTGGTAATATGCAAGAGCTTAATAAAATAAAAAGGTATAAAGTGTAGTTGTTTTCATCTCCCAGCAGATGGATGCAGTCAGGCGGAGCTGTACAGTTACTGCCACAAGAAATGCACATGTTGTTATCCTGCAAGTTAGTTTTCCTCCAAGTTACCCTTACAGTGCTGCTCCCACATTCCAGTTTGCACAGGGAACATCTGTTGATAACAACACTATGGCAAAATTGCTTAAGGTAATTCTCTTTCTTAAATGTAATGCTTTGCAACTTTATAAACTGAAGTGGAAAGGTGTGTAATGTGTTCTTTACAGTTGTGCGTTTGTTATTGAGAGCATGTCAATTTATTGCAGGTACCAACCTACTGTTGACAGGCTCAGAAACAGTAGAGGTACTCCACATAAATGTATTGTTTGTTATTCTTCATTAAGTGTGTATATACATATGTATGCATTTTAATTATCTAACCTTTTAAATGTTTGCATTGAGTGCAAAGGAGTTGAAAAAAGAATGTTGTAGAAATTTCCACTCTTTGAAATATGTGGAGCAGAGTTTGGAAACTTGTGTTGTTGTAAATGCAAGTTACGTTTGTCTGAAAAGATATTCAGGGTTAGAGCTGCTTCTTAACATTTATTAAGTTGGAGTTGTGATTGTTGGTGGTTGAGTATTAGTAGGTACTGGTAAGAGCTAAATGTCCTTTAATCTCTTGCAGAGAACACAGCGGGGAAGTCGTGGATTTTACAAAACAGCAAGATGAATTTTAATTAATTTTGTATGGGAGAAGTACAGATTGAGTTACAAGATCAGTTTAATTTGGGCTCACAGTGATTCTTCAGAACTCTTGCATTACATGAAGACATAAATGTCTTCATGTCACATGTCACTTATGTTTTTGTGTGTTTTTATTACCAGTACAGGAAATCAAAAACTTTCAGAGGTCGCTAAACATGATGTAGCTTCAGTTGGAATCTAAGAAGATAACATTGGTAGCTTAAAAACTGCAGAAAAGCAGTTTTCTTACATAATACTACATCTAGACTAAGGATAAAGAATATGTGTAGCTGAGATTCATAAAGGAATAATTGGAAATATTTTGGGAATACTTAAACTAATTAAAGGCATTTTAAAAGTGAGTTTCAATCTTAAATGAACAGTTTGTTGAACTGTTCCTGTAATACTGAGTAACATTAAATTAATTTCTAAGTAAAGATACCCTTGCTTCTTACAGCCTAGTGGTAGCTATATGTTGTATGTGCTTCAGCAGTCAGTAACTCTTCATTTTGTATTTATGGGTTTTGTGTGATTCTCAGTGTAGACAGGGGTTATTTCCATTGTAATGGTGAAGTGTTGTATTTTCTTTGCAGTATGGACTGAATTCTTAAATATTTTTTCAGTGAGCTTCAGCTTTAAATGGTTAACCAGTGGAATATTGATGAAAAAATGACAAGAAAATCCTGAGCTACTGGCTCATCACTGTATGACCATTAATTCTATTGAACCGAAATAGTTTAATACAGTACGTCAAAAGCACCAGTGTCCCCTTACATTATTGAATATTTTATGTGTTTATTACAGTTTTAGAATAACTTTTCAGAATATATTGTACAGTGTTGGAAAATACATCATTTGTTCTCTGTTTATAATTAAAATAATATTTATTATAATATCAAATAATGATTGATTCAAAGCTATGAAATATTTGATTTAATCACTTTGGTTTAGTCCGTTGTTCTTACTGTCTCAGCCTACATTGTTAAGACCAGCAGTTGATTATGGGATGTAAGAATATTTTTTCACCTAGGCTTGAACTTGTTTGTTTATGGTTGTTATAATACTGTCTTATTTGTATGCCACAGTATCATAAGTTTTTGTTTTGTTGTTTGAAGGTACTGAAACAAACAGCACAACAAAGAGTGAGAAAAAATAAATCCTGTCTTGAGCCATGTTTACGTCAACTTGTGTCAACTTTAGACCAGGTAAGTAAGAATATTAATGCATGTATTGTCACGAATCATTCTTATCTTCAAATTATTTTGTCATGTACTATTTCCTTGCAGATTGCTTTAAGTGATGAATTAGATAACAAACCATTCTTACGGTTACACCATTCTCAGCCTTCTTCATATCTTGAGTCTTCAAATATATATGGCAGTTTCCAAGATGCATACATACCATTTCCACGAACATCTGGAGCTAAATTCTGCAGTGTCGGTCAGTATAATTTTTAAGTAGCATTTACTGACCTGGTCTTACTACTGACTGAATTACATCACATAGGTAACTATAGAAGTTTTGGGAACCATATCTAGCAGTGATATATCTCTTTAAACAACTTACATTTTTATCAGTGCTTCCTTGCCTCATTTTATGCAAAGTTACAGTCCCTTGTCAGGGTGTGATGCTGATCACTCACCCCTATCTAGTGCCGAGATCAAGAATGAGTAGGAGCTATACCTCCTCTTCCCCCAAGTGCCCACATTGCTTATAGGACAATTTGCAGGGCTCGATACTTGAACATTCATGTTCATCAGCTTTAACAGGTCATAGACTGCTAGTTTGTCTATAATTATTTAACTTCCATTGCCTCTATTTGCCCATTGTCTTTAACTTAAGTACTACAGCTACTTGATGCATTCTTTTTACAGTTTACCTTGTTTTTGCATTTATTAGCTATAAACTATATCAGAACTGAAGATTATTTTTCTTAGCTTGGTTACTAGCTTACAGTATGTACTGTAATAAGGTTTTAATTAATTTCTGCTGCTGCCACCATTTTTTTCCCTGGTGCATGCTTAAATTATTCCTGTGTTAGGAATATTGGTGTGTTTTGGACGACCACCCTTTGCAAGGCGATTGTCAACACGCTTGGAAAGTCCAACACCCCGATCATTGTCAGCATTGGGTGGAAACTTAAACAGCTTTAACCTTGGTGGATCATCTTCTGCCAGTACTAGTCAGTATTCTCTCATATATCCACCTGTAACACAGAGTCCAACTGGGGATCCAAATGTGTCCATCACATCATTCTACTTTCAAGATAGGGTAAGTAGTCAGATGTTCTTAACCTCTAATGATTGAGTCTGCATGTTTTTGTCTGAGTAGTTCTCCTTTATTGTGACCTGGAAGGCTTTGTACTTTTATTGTGTTATATTATGTAGTTTCTTAAATTTTTTAAAATTGTCCATTAGCTTCTGCTATCTTTAGGTAATACTTTTCCTCTGTTACTTGAGTTTTTTTATCGTGAAATATAAGCTGTCCCTCTGCATTGGAAACATTTTTGATTCCCGTGAGGAAATTTATTCAGATGTTAATTTCAGTGACAGAGTAAATTTTTAGTATATAATTGATTCTTTGGGCACTAATAAGAAGAATTTGAAGACAGTTCTGGAAAGTCAGAGAGAGGGAGATGAATGGACTAAAACCTGAAAGCACATAGACCAATGATAAACTTCAATCAGAAGTTTACATATTTCTTCCAGAATCTTGGATATTTTTACCCTACATACAATTTGAATTATTCAGGGAAAAAATCACAAATAAAATATCCTGTGAAAACTGATAAGTTTTATTCTGATATTGTCACTGTCATTCAAATTTCTAAGTCTTCTAGACTGATAAGATGAATAGACGCCACATTTTAGAAAAAAGTAAAATTGTAATAATGGTGATGAACAGTCATCAGCATTTAATTTTGGTATCTCAGATGCAGTCACAACACTAGTAGAAGATGTAATGAAGGTCAAAATCTGTATGTGGACAGCTGTTGCAGACTACATGTTGTATGCTCAAAGTAACATGTAGGGAATGCCACTTTTGGGGAAGAAATTGAAATGTTGTCAGAATGGTTCATGATGGTTCTAAATTGGCATAACGGGAAATGTACTCACATATATATGTTCTGAGGTGTATGTATATATACATTTCAGAACATTAGAAACTGAAACCCAAAAAATATCAGGTCCAGTAAAGTGTTCTCTGGTGATCTGCCCAGTAGGTATGGAATTACATTCCACCATTTCAATGACTTACTGCCTTTGTCATCAGGGTAAATGTAAATAATGTCACAACTGCCCATTGTATTTATACCCACGATTGTCATATTGACATTTTTCTATGATAAGAATGTAGGAGTTGTGAAGAAGTCTGACAGGCTACTAAATTTGTTAGCTTTTATACAGAAACTGTTAAGTTACACAATTCTTATGTTTTTTTAATATATAAATACATCTATCACTGATAGATATAGTTATTTATTTATAGTTTATTTAAAGCTGCTTTCAGTATCTGGACTATATAGTGATGGATGAGAGGATGACTGCGAGTAATGGATTGGAAAATATGAAGGAAGCAGTTGTGGCATAATTTCAGGCACTATCCTGACAGTTGCCTACAGATACTGAGGAAAACCATGAGAAACCTCAGTCTGGGTAGCTGGTCTCTAGGCCAAGATTTGAACCCAGGACTTCCTGAATATGAAACAGGGGAGCTAACCATGAAGCTAATATGTTCGGTATTACTGATAAGAGTTTTGATGAGAGATAATGAAGTAGTTATGAAGGAAATATCATTCACTCAGAAAATCTATACCAGGAAGAAAGAACATTAGGCTAATATTTGCCTAACACTTTTAATAAATCGCACAAAATTTAAGTAAATTGTTCACAGTAGCCCGTGAGTCACTAAGGGTGAGTGTCTTGAAATGTTGAACTCCTATTATGTAGATGGTAATAATATTTCTATTCCAGAATGACATGTAGACATTGCCTTGCTAAGAGAAAGTCAGAAGTAAACCTGTTTGTAATTTATTTTGTACATTACTTTGATAAAGAAATTTGTCAGCAAAATAATGATGTTCATCATGTCAATGAAGATGTTCTTAACTGTATGAGATGTTAAAACTTAGGCCTACTTAATTACATAAAGTGCAAACCAAACAATTTCAAAAATAAAGAAATATATAATTTCAAAGTTGGATTTTAAGTTTGTATTTTTGTATGTTATGTTGCAAAAATGCTCAGCAGGAGGCATGCATGAATAGAGTTTACTCAGGTGTACTTTACAATAGTCATGAAGGTATTGTGAATTCAGGTTGTCTTAATGGAATTGCCATTGTAATATGAATACATATGCACTTACCAACTGAATTATGTTAATTGTACAAAATCTACAGGTGTTTTGATGCACCATGTGTTACTTCATTAATGTATAATAGGCCTACATGGCATCATTTCAGATTAGAGCACTTGGGCACAGTATTACTGTACTGGTTTGTGTGGACTTCTAGGTTCTTATTTTTAAGCAGTTCTTCCAATTCTTCGTAAGCAAATTTGCATTTGATGATAAATATGAACTACATTTCACATATTCAAATAAATCAGCTATCGTATTATCAGAATATTAGGTTACATGAGAATAGCATGTTGAAATCAACAGGAAAAGAGAAAATATTAACATAGGATTCATATTTGATAAATGTAATTCAAGAGAAAATCTTATCTTACTCTGATATATGAATACAACTCATAATCAGGATAAAATTAGAACAAAGAATATCAAATTTATAGATATCTTTTATCAGTGGTAATTTATTTTATATGTATTTATGTAATAATTCCATTGTTATTTCAGAACAGCTTATAAGCACTACCTTAGAGAAACATCTGGAGAATGTCTGTAGTTGGTTTGAAAACTTACATACCATATTACATTAATAATGTATTTTATGCCCATGAAATAATGATGTTCATGTCATTGTAGATGTTCTTAACAGTTTTATCAAAACACTAACCTCATATATTCACATCTAAATATTTCCAACAAAGTTATGTAACCTTAATCGTTGGATTTATAGATACATTTATTTGTCAGTAAAGAGTTTATTTAGGTTTAAAAGAATTACTAGACTCTATCAGAACGTGGAATGGCTCTGGCTTCAGTTCACTGTTACTTAAATTTTTGTATCTGTTTGAAGGATGGAGAAATGTTGGTGCCTCCAACTTCTTTCGTTCTTTCTCCCTCTCCATAACCTGTGATGTTATAATTTGGATAGCTTGTTTTTGGGGCAACTTTCTCATTTCATTTCGGTTTTTAATAAATGACACTGTTTGTCAGAAGCAGCCACCCCGAACCAGGTCAAGAGGTGTCCATGGCAATTCAAGGGGGCCTCAGAATGCATCCAAAACTCCATCAAAGAAAGGTTCTCGAGCAATCGTTACAATATATGATGCATCATCACTGTTCCTTATACACAGAGAACTTGGGGAGAAATATGTGTGAGTATAAGATATTGTTGGTAATTACGTGTTAATTTGTATTTTTGTGTACATGCACGAAAGCGGAGAACTTTACAAGAGTAATTTTTTTTTGTTTCCCATTTGTGCCATGCCCAATACATGTAATACCAATATCTTTTTCTGTATTTATCTATTCATCTGCTTACACATTCTGTTTCAGTATCACATATTTCTTCTGATACAAGAAGTATACAATAATTTCAGGATTTACTGCAGAAAAATCAAAAGTATTTGAATTTAAGAAATTCACTGTCTGTTGTAGAATACAAAATTTGTCGTGAACAATGGTAAAATCAAACAGAAAATATGTGTATTCTTATGAGGACATTCTTAATACATAGTATTGTGTTAGGGGATGGTGTAATTGGAATTATCTGTTTTAGGATATGGTCCAAGGGTGTGATTTGTGAACATCAGTTATGAATTTTGAGGTTCCATAAAATGTGGAGAATTTCTTGACTAGCTGTTCATGCTGTTAGCTTCTCAAGAAGAACTCTGCTGCATGGAGATAGCTTACGTGTTCTAATGCTTTTTGTAATTATTCCTTTCTGTGTCTTATAAGCAGCACATTAAAATAATTTAACATTCTGGTTTTCCAGAACTGTCTTTGAGAGAAAATGGTAGAGAATGTTTTTAAAATTATCTCAATATTATTTTGGTTTCAAATGTTACAGGAAATGTTTTGAAGCTTGGCTTTGTTATTTCTCAGGCGATGGTGGATCACAATGCTCCAGGTATCTGAGAAACTGCATTGGCTTTTTGCAGGTTTGACTGCCATGATCTTCCAGGCATGTGTCACCGCAATTCTGCCATAGCAGCACTAGTTGGTCGTCGTGATTTAGTGCAGGCCTGGACTCTGGCAGCTTTAGCAGCTACTCCTTCTACAAAGCCTATCCCAGACCAGGATGATGACATACCATGGCCACATCATCCCTTTGGCAAGGCCATGGTTGAGTCATTGTAAGCCACTATAAAATATTATGGCCATAGATTATACTGTATTTTACAGTAAGTAATTGGAACATGAAAATAAATATTTCTGTATAATAAAATTGTGTTGAATGAAAACTAATTCTGAGTTGGTTTGTTCACTAGTGGTGTAAAATTTATTCTGCAGTAAGAATACGAAGTAGGATATGGGGGTAAGAACTGGCTTGGGATGAAGGATCAGGGCTTTTGTGAATACAATAATGAACTTTCAGGTTCTGTAAGAGGTGAGAAATTTTTAAACTAGTTTAATGCCTGTTATAATCTGAAGGACTTTGTGCCATGGATTTAGTAGAGATCCCAGTATAGATGGTGTAATGTGAGATACTTGTGGCAGTAGAGATGTTGATATTGGTCTACTGGGTTATAATGCTGTGTGGACTTGTAGTTGACTTCTGAAGGTGGAGGTACTATATTCTTCCAAAATATTGATATCTACCTACAAGTCCATATGACATTACAACTGAGAAGACCAACATCTACATGTTATAATCTATAGTCTTCCTCCTGACAAGTAAGTATTCGTCTCTTTCTCTAGTCTTGTAAATTTTCATAATTTTATTTCACTTTCAGAATTGCTTATTATGCCAAGCAGTCTGATATTCAGATGGCAGCTATGCTCTGTTGTACTTTTGGATGTCGGTCTGAGAATCAGGACACACTCAAGAACAAGCAGCTCAGCAAGTCAGTTAATGTCAGTGTAAGTATTAAAATTATGTTGCACTTTAACAGAGTTGAAGTTTTGTGACAAACAGTCACTTCTGCACTGCTTCTTAACTTTCTTGGAGAATTTTAAACCTTGACAGTTTAATAGGATGTTGTTACTTTGTAATTGTAATGATTGCCTTGGTTTGGAATAAATTCCTGATTCTTCCCGGAATAGAATGAGAAGCTGTAACATAATATTCCTTAGTCGCCAATTTTATACTGTCCTATTTATATCATTCCATGTCATTGATTGTTATAAGAAACTGAATTCCTTATTCCATCTACCTAGATATAGATCTACCTTTTGCTTATGTTGTATATTCTCCAGATATTTTTTGCAGTGATCTTTGAAAACATTCTTGATAAGAGGATTATTATATTTGAATGAATCTTTTCTCTAGAGCTCATATAGTTCCAGTCCAGGAGAATATAAACTGTATCTTCCATATAAAGGCTTGTTCTTGATTTGACTCTATCACTGAAATCTTTAACAGAATATTTATGCAGTATCTATGCTTGAAAATTGGTATATGTTATGATTTTTCATAAATTCTTTCTTTCACATCATTATTTATATTTTCCATAGAGGCATGCACATTTGTAGTAGTAATATTGCATCATTGGTTTTGATTATTAGCTGTGATATCCTGCCATTAATAAACCCTAATGTTTTTGTGTTTCTATTTAATGACAAGCAGCTCTTTAGTTGCTGTTGTTCCATTGTTCATTGAAACATATTTTCCATCTTTTCCAATCAACCTATATTTCTGTATTTGTTGTCATGCAAACAGTGACTGTAAAGGACCATTCTTATGTACCTTCTAAGTAAGGAGAGACAGAATGTTGGTTATTTAATTATGTTTGAGTGCTATAAATTACTGAGGTTATGCAGCATAAAATGAGATGTGGTAGAATGCTATTAAATAATGAAATAGGTAAACATAGTTTATGCCTGTAGCTATCAGCACATTGTATGGAAAAACTAAGGAATACCACTAACACCCCAGTAAATGTAGTCAGTTTTTCATCAGGGTTTAAAGTGAGTGCTTTCTGATTTAAGTCCATATGTGTTGTGCCTGTTAGTCCACACACTGGATAATAGAGGAAGATGAATATAAATTGAAAGGGTAAAAGAGTAAATTCAGACACAACAGGACCAAAAATGAAAACATAAGATTTAAGGATAACCTTTAAAAATCCGTCATGAATAACCACAGTTACAGTGGTGCTTCACTTGAATACCAACAGATAGAAGATATTAAATTTCTGTTAGTAAGAGTTTAATGCCTGTAGAAAATATATCTTCATTTGTTCTAAGAATATGAAAAATTGGCATCGTTTTTCTTTATGGTCATCAGCTGCAGTGGCCAATGTGGTTCTTACTCACATTTTATTTTCTGTGGTTTTTAAATGTAGCAATTTTGCATGTTTAGCAGACATGGTAGTGTTGTGAAGAAAATTAGAGTTTTGTCCTCATGTCCTCTCTGACCAAGCAGGTAATTGTGTGATAACATGCCACTGGAAGGCATTGAGCTGTTCAATTGTTACATAAAGTAACGACACCAGCCAATATGTTCTTTGAACTTCTGTCATGATATCTGTATCAGGCTGTAAATTTTTAGTGCATTAAATTGAAACATTCCACAACTTATAGGCACAAAAGAAAGCACTTTTTTGACAACTTTTGAATGCCTGCCACATTTTAGCCCTTTAAAAACTTTACATGAGCTTTGAGTATAATGGTACCACATATCTCACTTTTGAACAGTGTATAACCAAACTTTGTATATCATTAAATTATTCGGTCAGATAGGGTTGGCTTTCATACTTTGAAAAGTTTCTTCAAACAGATTTTTTATGTAGCTAATATAACCTTAAATACTCGATAATGCCCAGAACATACAATATTCTTTAACAAATTCAGTGTTAGTCTTTTAAATGCCATTTAAAGCCCTCAGTCAAATACTTAGTTCACTTAGGCCACTCTTACCTAAAATGGGCTTGGAGATAGGGGTCTGTGTTAGTGTTCTCTCACTCATTTTCTTTTTCTGGTTTAAAATTAACACATGCTTGCCATGTACTACTAAACTGGCATTTTTAGTTTCAGTGTTTTCTGTTTTTGGTTGCCTGCCACTGACAATACTTTGCCACTTTCCGTGTTGTTTTCATTGGAATATTTGATTTCCAGATCATAATTAGTGGAAATCTTGGCCACAATTTCATAGTTTTTTGGGTAAGAATGTCAGTGATTATATAAGCCAGACATAAAAAAAATTCCAGTATTTATTACAACACTGTCAATAAGAGTTTTTTCAATTGAGTGATAGTAATTGAAATTCATGAAAAGTGTTCAAAATTAATAGATCGAAGGAAGCAAACAAAACTTCAATGGTAGCAGGACCCAAACAAAATGAATATAGATAATCTATGTAATATGAGACGTGAAGTTAGTAGAATCTTTAGGAATAAGAAAAGGGAATACCTGAAGGGCAAAATTATTGAACTCGAGACAGTGGAGGGCATTGAATTCGGTGATGAACCTTCGGGTTCTGTAAGCCATCTAGTTAATTAGCGACATTAATTGATATATAAGTAGATGAGCTGAGTTCTACAATCTGTGCATGTTTGTATTTGATTGACATCTCTTGGATTTACAAAGAATTGTTTGGAACACAGCAACAATTTGGCATGAGCTTAGCATATGAATGAGTTTAGAAGTTGCCATATATGGCACTGAATGTGTTAAGAAGCCAATTACCACAACCCTCAAAATTTTAAATTATTTCACAAGATGTTTTGATGTGTTCATGTTTTTACATAATTACCTGCAATTACATTTCCTGTCACTTTATGTACCCAAATGAATAGAAGTTTTCAAATCCATGACAGTAAATGGCAGACATGCTGCTATATATGATTGCTGTATTCAAGCATGTCCATGGACACTGCAGAGTCAGTGAATTTCAGCACTGGGAACTTTCTCATTGTTAAGAAACTCAGTTACACAGTTAATCTACTGATCATTTGCCTGGTCCATTGTTATGTGGTGTAGCAGTAAAAACAGCTGAATGCTAAAATTCATACTTCTTCTGCCAAGTATTAAGTGCTTGCAGCATCGGATGTCATCATTTAATTTAAGGTGCACAAGTACAAGTAATTTGTTCCTGGAATTTGTTGTGTAGTCTTCATATAGTTCGAAACTTATACAAGTGCCCATTTTCTAACATAGCAAATTAATGGACTGTGATGTCTGCTGTGAAGAAACCAAAATAATGATATATTTACTTGTTGCATATAAGGAGGGGTGTAGACATCAGTGAACTTCTCTTTTGTATGTAAATGGAGTGCATGTCTTGTTCAGGGGTTGTATGATATTGGAATAAATATGGTATTTTGAACATTTTCTTTCCTTTACTTGATGCATTTTCCTAGCATGCTGTTTTCATTTGTCATGTATATTACCTGTATGTGTGTTGTATTGAAATAATGGGATATGTAAGAACTTGTGAAAATTTTACCTTAAGAAATGTATAACTGTTAAACAGTCATTAAGGTAAAATTAGTATGGTGTTTAGTGTGTGTAAATTGTATGAAACTAGTAATAAGTTATATTATAAGCATGTGCAGAAGCAAGACATGATGAGTGGAATGCCAGTAACAGGTAAAGTACTATTAATTTCTGTTTTATTGTATATGGTCTGGAACAACTCAGATGGACTTCTAACCTGGTGAGCATTTGTTACATGGTGTCTGGAAGCATTTCTTGTGTCTGACGTAATGTCTGTGTTTTGGCAGAAAACTTTTGTGTTATTGTTTCTGCACTTCGGAGTATATATTTTTGTTAACTGTTTACTTGCATGTATTCTTATGTTCCTAGGGACAAAATTACATTCATCTGAAAATGAGTTGTACAGTCATGGACAGTCTAGAAATTTAACTTTCATGTGGTTACAGTATTTTGGTGTAAAGAAATCATTAGTGAAGGTACATATTATGTGACAGTTTTGTCAATGACTGTACCATTAATGCAGTTTGTTTTATTTTTCAGTTGACCAGATATGGTAGATAGGCTCATGGAGGTTCCATTTAAAACAGTTGGAGTTTTTGAATTGATTACTTGTGCTGTTTACTGCATGCAGTGAATTTATTGTATCACAATTAATTTCTTCATTTGTGTAATGGTGCACCCCTTCCAGTTGTCAATGATGAGTGTTTTATCATACTAACAAAATTTTTAATTGTTTTGTTATCAATTTAATTCTTTAACTATAAACAGTTTTGCCATTGTACTACTCAGGAATATGAATATATAGTTACTTATTAGGTTTTATAGTTTCTACATTACTGTCATATTTATTCCAATCAATATATTATTTAATTTTCTGTCTCCCTTCCAACCCATTCTCTTTTGATCCAGCTCAGAATGCCACAAAGTGATTTCCTTTTGATGATGTGGCATGTCAAGTGTTTTTATTTTTGACTTAATTCCAAAGTAATTGATTCTAGCTGTACAATCTGCAATACTCGATTAGGACTGATATGTTTGTTTTATTATTATAGCGACTTGCAACTGGGAAGTGGTGGCTCAAGGTAAAGTATGGGTGCTTTATCACTAACACAAATGGAGGGTTTTTTGATATGTTTAACAACCACAATTCAGATGATATTTCTAGATATCCTTCTGGGCATGAGAACATTTTTCTGTGGCTGCCTAGTTATGTAAACAGTACTTGTTTTCTGTACCACGTTTTCTTGCACTGCTTTGTTTGTGTTAAAAAAGGCATCCACTCCAGATGTCATTCAACTATTCAGTAATAATAGCTATATGTAAATTGTTATTTACTATACAGTACGTGTTTTGTGTGTTTCTTTAGAGATCTCTGCACTTCATTCCTTACTGCAAAATCTTAAAACCTTGTATACTGTGCATTGTATTGATATATAAAATCATGCATATAAACAAGAACTGTTTACATTTTGAAAAGACACTTAGTACCAAATGCGTTTCGACCTCAAGAGGTCATCATCAGTGGTAAACAAATTAATTCATACTATATCATATCATTTAATATGAATTAATTTTTTTGCCACTGATGATGACCTCTTGAGGTCAAAATGCGTTTGGTACTAAGTGTCTTCTCAAAGTGTAAAGTTTTTGTATGTATGCATGATTTCACATATTCCTTACTGCATATTAATGTTTTGTCTTACGCTAGAGTTAAAACAAGCTTTTTACACTTTTCTCAGAGAGTAGTTTTTCTTACAATGCACATTTTTCAGATGGAACTTCATATTTGATAGTGAGTTAGTGAATTGTAAGAAATGAAGAATAATTTGGTCTGCATGTTTCCAAAGTTCCATTAGTCAAATGTGTAACATTGCATTCAGTAAATATACGGAAAATATTTTATACATACAGTTTTTAGCTTCATGTGCTTCCAATTGGTAAGTTTATTAGAGTGATGAATGAATCTCTTATTAATGGAAAGTGATTCAGTTTCTGTAGTTATCTAAGTAATCTTGTATTGTAGTTGGAATTAATTTGTGTTAATGAGTTGGTTACACCACTATGAGTGATGCAAATTTTAATGACAGGTGGGAAGGAAGGTGTTGAACAGAGCTACATAATTTGTTAGGCTTTATTTGTATTTGTCAGTTGATTATTTGTTAGTGTATAGATCTAGGGAAATTAGGGGAAAATATGGCTGCATTTATACAGTGTTCCATTTAAATGCAACCCTAACTACAACAGAATTTGTCAGCTTTGGTGACATTAGCGTAACAGTTGGTGTATTGTCTCATTTGGTACTTGTTAGGATGCGCTTTGCTAAATGCTTCATGAGCAGCAGCAAACAATTTTGATGCAAAATAATGTTCATGAATGAGCATGTGCTATGCTCATGAATACACTGTCTTTGCACCTGCACAGCTTTTGCTCAATTGGCATGTGCAGTGGCCTAGCAACCTGGGTGACCTTGACTTAGGTGTTATGGGGGAAGTTTGTAGAGAGTATTACGTAGGTGTTGACCTCTTTCCGATTTAATTTTTGTAGGGTTGTACATTATTGTTGTTGGTTTGCATTTTAAATGGTACACCTTATAAAAATTCTTCCTTGTAGTTGTGTATTTGTAGACTGTCTGTAAATAATATAATACAGGACATCTCTTACCATTATCAGTAGTATTGGGTCAGGCTGCTGTTACCTGTTATGCCCATAAGCTTCAATATATGTTATCCTGTGCCTACCATTTCCTTTAAGGTATTTTCTTTTATTTCTGTATGAAGACTGAGGAGCAGTGTTTCTTGCTTAACAAAATTATGCCTTGCCTAATCTTTACATTTATTTCTGTAGCATGTACCATGAATGTCATCACAAAATTGTGCTCAGTTGGAAACACATTATAAAACAACTGAAACCTGTTGAAACTTAGAGAAACAACAGTTGAACATGTGTGCCCTGAGACATGCATAGAGGCATTGGGCTTATTCCTAATCTGTTTAATGTATGCTGCACTTGAGTGTGTTAAAATTAGATATACGTATAAATCACAGTTAAGAGTGTGCATTAAACATATATAGATTCATATATCAGGTTTGTTTAATGGTAGAACTCTCTATTCTATTTGTATTTATTAATCTCTCAATGTAAAGGGTTGGCAAATGTTGGTGCAGCAGCTCTTGTGCTTGGTTGGGTAGTGAAACAGCAAGAAGAGTCATCTGCGCATTCCAGCTGATAATGTTGACATTTTATATGGGGAAAGGAATGATACAATGACTCAGTTATCCTATCACAAGAAGAGTGTAGGAAATCACAAAGAAGTCCTGTCATTATTGGTCTTCTGGTTGTAATGCTGTGTGGACTAGTTGGCAGATACTGATGTTTCAAAGAAACATACTGTCTCCATCTTCAGGGCCAGATGAAGATGGAGATGGTGTGAATATGGCTGTCTTCTGGGTTGCTGCGCTGTATAGTCTGGTAGAAGTTTACTCATATTTTAGAGGTGCTTGCTGTCTCCATCACCAGGGCAGACAGTTGCCCTTGCACCAGACTACATGGCATAACAATCCAGGACACAGCCATCTTCATACTTACTGTTGTGAGAACCTGAAATCTTTAATGGAGACAGTATATTTCTCTGAAACGTTAGTATCTTTGCAAAGGTTCAAATTCATTACAACAGAGAAGATTTACGCTGACATCTTCACCATTGTGAGAATCTGAAATCTTACAAGAATTCCAGCCAAAATTTGTATTAAGTCCCTCTTGAATGCAAGCCCAGTGCTCTATCATTGAGCAATAAATGCATAGAAAATATATTTTAGAAAGTATTGATACATATAACAGACATAGATGGATATTTAAAATATAAACACAAAATAGAAAACATTTTAAGTAGAAATTTAGAGAATTTTACTATATGTGTGTGGCATTAGGTTATTCTTAATGTCATTGTATCATTATAAGATATTTTAAAGGTGTATCATTAGAAGTTATTTTAAAGACGACACATTCACTCATACTTGCAATGTTTAGGTTTTTTCCATTATGCTGTGTAGCATGCACCCATACTTTCTGGTATTGCTTGTTTCTATTTGCATTCTTAATATTATTTTGATATGGAGTAAGTGAACATGATTCATATTGAAATTATCTGTTCCAGCCTGGAGGTTCTCCATACCATACAATCCATCAAGTTGATTTGAGTCTCGAGGGCTGGAACTACCCTATGCTCAAACAGAATCGCTCCAATTCATGGTCTGATTCATTAGATGATTTCAAATTTATATCAACAATTGTTGAACATGCAGAAGTATATGATTCAGAGAGTGAGAAAAGTGTAAAGTAAGTCCAAGATCCGCACATACACTCAGATATAGTGGAGTGGCATGCCAAACTTTTGATGGTGACATTTGCATGACACTTTCTTCAAGTGAGTTCAGTTCTTTTTGTAACTAAACTATTCATTTTAGGATACTTGAAGAAAAAAATTCACACTTATATGATACATACAAGAAAGCATATTCAGAAATTCTTCACAGGTGGAACCTTTTGGATGCACGTGCACAGGTATGGGCTTAATATTGACTTGGAAATCTTGTATATTAAGTTGAATGATTTTTATTGTTATCAGCATTAGTGGTATTTAACATTACAGGTACTGAAGTACATGACAACACCCCCAGAAATACACAGGGGTGTGGAGTTTTATTCAGAGTGTCAGTATTGCAACAGTAAAGTCAGAGGGGCAGGCTGTTTGGTCTGCAAGAGACTTATTTTTCAGTGCTCCATCTGCAACCTCTCAGTTCGAGGTGAGATCATGTGCTTATATTCAGGAAATTATCAATTTAAATTTCAATCACAGGTGGCTGTCTTGTCAGGTTTTGTGGATTTTTTCTCAATCATTCCATGGGGATCTTGCAAGAAGTGAAGACTTCTAGCGAGTCAACCATTGTTGTGCATTGATAGTGTTCAAGCTATGTAGGTTCTTATCTTAGTCTTTGTAAAACTGTGTCTCATCATAGAAGTTACTGAAAGTTCATGTAGAACTTTCTCTTTATTAGGTAGACTCCACAATAATTCTGGAATTACTTGCAACTCTATCACATAAATGTGAATTGATTTATATTTTCATAAATAATGACATTGCAGTAACTGGTTAAGTTGTGACAGTTGTACATATATTGACATATAAGCACAGTATTGAATATTTTAATTTTATAAAATTTGTAATAAAAAGTATTTCAGAACCAGTGTTCCCAGCCAGGTACAGTGCTGACATTGAGCTTCAATTACAGCACAACCTGTATTGTCCAAAGTGAACAGTAGATAATTTGAACTTCCTTTGTTGAAATTTGTATTTTTTAATCTTGATCAGTTGGAGATAATGAGGTTTTACTGTAAGAAGTGTTAAGGTGTGTTGGCTTCCATTGTTATGTCACATTAAGTATCATGACAATTGCCTGAGAAGATACTTCAAATGGGGATACACAAGATGTAATATTATATGACTACCTCTTTCTTAAATAAGGATAATAAGCATAACAATAACTGACCCAGTCCAACGCTGGAATAGCAAGTGAGCTAAAGAGTTATGCTATTATGTATCAATATGTGGTTATTCCTTTAGTTTTGTCTATACAGGACAATAATAATTAGCTTGAAGTGGACATGTCTGCTGACCACAGAGATTTTTTGTTTAATATTCTCTGTACCCATGATATTTTGTAGGATTGCTTGTCTAAATAACAAACTAGCATTTATTGTTTTTGCTGAAGTGCCTTATCACTTCACAGTTTTATTCTCCATAGGTCTGTCCAAATTCTGCATGGTGTGTGGTCATGGAGGACATTCAGATCACATGATTTCATGGTTTGAGACTGAGTCAGAGTGTCCAACAGGCTGTGGCTGTAGTTGTACGGTAGAGATGGCTAGTATGCTGGAATCATAAGGTGAGCAGTGTCTATTTTGGGAGATTAAAAAATCAGTTATGTTTTCCTTCTGGTAAAGACGTAGAAACTCGACTTGCTTACACACACTCACGCACGCGCGGTCTTTGCATAACTAATCTTGTAAATTTGACTTGTTCAGAAGCATTTAATAATATATATTTCTTCCACAATATGACATTCCAAGACAATCTTTTTTAAGCTCATCTGTTTTAAGTGTTTATTTGTAAGTGTTCTTTACAAAAAGTACATCAAATGAACACATAATGGGCCGATATGTCACTCCATATGTTTTATCTCAGAAACTACTTAGCAGATTTTAATTTAGTGTTGTTGTCTACATTGAGAGTTAACTGGAAAATTTTATGTTGGTTATCAGTCAAAAATGAACTATACAAAGCTTGTAGTGAACAAATGAATTTTCTCACAAATGGCTTGGAGGCAGTATGACCTCTGAAACGTTGGTGGAAATCTACCAGACTACACGGCGCAAAAACCCAGAAGACAGCTATCTTCAACCACAATTCACTTTATTTTTGTGGGTAGACAAACAAGTAAAACCTGAAGCTGTCATTGTTATGATGAAAGATGAGTAGTAACTTTATTTTATTATTTCTAGGATGTGTACGTTCCTTTCTTGGAAAGTGAAATCCACTGAGAATTTGTAGATGTGAATTTCGGTTGGATCGTCTACTGTTTGAACAGGCTATCACGTGTCTGACGGAAGTGTGAAGACAGTGATGAATCCTTAACTAAACTAGAACCTGGTGCAGTAATGCAGTTTTTGTGCCTGGAAGGTGCATGTTCATTTTTAATGATTAGACACCTTTCTTTACATACGTATAAAAATGGAAAGTAAATTGTTCTTATTTGCATGTCTTTGGTGTTTAGTGCTCACACATTAGTTTCCATTCAGTTATAGTAAGTAAGGTTGTACAGTGTACAAGCAAATTTTGTGCTCATACAGGGTTAATTCATAGCTAAAGTAACTGATATGAACAATGGCAGCTGATTTTTGGACACTTGTGCACATGTACTGTCACATGTTGTCATGAGCCAATCAGCTTCAGAGACTTGGTATAAAAAGTATTCAGCTACTTCAAGTGTGAAGCAGATGTCATATGTATCTCTCTCTCCCTCCATGCCACCTACCTTCGTCTGTGTTGATCACTTTATGTGTGGTATTGAATATTATACCCACTATGTTATAGGCCTGTTAAAATACAATGTTGTTTTATATTTTAATACCAAATTATATAAAAATATGATTTGATGTTCATGGTAAAAAAAGTAGTATTTTAGTTATAGATGCGGTGTATTTAGTAAGTATGGCATTGAAGTACTTTCCTGCTTTGTTTAGAACAGAATGGGAGGTTACATAAGTACCTATATAGTATATTTAATAAATATAACATTTAGAATAATAGTCTGGATTAATCAAAGAACTCTTTATACCATTGATTATTGTTAATTCTTGCGTTATGTACATGAAATGAACATGTGTGTGGTTAACCGTGTTTGTTATGTCTGCGAGATTCAACTTGAGAATCACTAGACAGATTCTGATGAAATTTTGTATGGAAATTATGCCATTGGGGCCTACCCTAAACTTATACTTCTTAGTTTCCTACAGTCAATAATATCAACAGTGTGAATGGTTGAATGAATGTTTGAGGTATGATTGGCACTCTTGCCACATAAGGGTCGTGTAATAGGTATGGTAATAGATCTTTGAAAAAATAAGTAACTTTGGTACAGTAATTCTTTTCGCATTGTAAAACAACGTGGTGGTAGCATGAAGAAATAAAAAGAATTTTGACAAACAGGATTTGATCCAGTGACTATCTTCATGCAAGTCCAGTACACTACCACAGAAGTAAGTCACATTGGGTTTTATAGTTATGGATTTACATTACATAAGGAATACATTATGATTTCATGGTATTTAAAGTTAAAAAAAGTTGTTTAATTAAGATGATCAAGTGTAAGTAAGGCATTTTCTTATGTAGGTACATTTTCTTTAAAATTAATAGGTTCAGACACATTTTAACTTATTATAGGCCATATATTGCATTATTAGTTTGTAGTACTTATAGAAACAAAGTAAAGGTCCTGCAATTTAAACATGCTGTTCTCTGAACAATCAGTTTTTGATAAACAAATTAATCAGTAGAGAAGAAAGAAAGCAATGTTCAAAATAAATACTCACATTTTAGTGATGATGTAGAAAGTAAGTAAATTGGTTTGCAGTTTGCTCCTCTTTCATCTTTATTGCTGTCTTTTTTTTAATAATAAGATAAATACATAATAGTTAATAATTAAATTTTACACTGGAAACATACAATTACATTTTTACACTGTACAGTCTATTGCTACACTTATGTGGATAATACTTAAGGTAATGCTTGTGCAGTATATGTATGTTATGGTACATTTCTTGTCAGTTAGGGGCATTCAGTATGTGAAGGTACAAAGAACATGTGGAAACTCTGTTTTCTCGTACAGATTACACCTTTCCCGTCTTGTTAATTCTGGTGCTTGACTTTACACCACTAATTTTAGAACCACAAAAATATTGGAGCTAAATACCCTTGCTAATATTTTTGCGTTCTTGATTAAATTTTTTAAATCCTTTATTGCACATCCACCATGTTTGAACATTCTGTCTGGTACCTAAACTATTATCTAGCTTCTGACTTCATGTTTATTATTATTTTTTATATTTAATTTATACATTGCATGATAAAGTATGTAAAGTTTTTGTATGTATGCATGATTTCACATATTCCTTACTGCATATTAATGTTTTGTCTTACGCTAGAGTTAAAACAAGCTTTTTACACTTTTCTCAGAGAGTAGTTTTTCTTACAATGCACATTTTTCAGATGGAACTTCATATTTGATAGTGAGTTAGTGAATTGTAAGAAATGAAGAATAATTTGGTCTGCATGTTTCCAAAGTTCCATTAGTCAAATGTGTAACATTGCATTCAGTAAATATACGGAAAATATTTTATACATACAGTTTTTAGCTTCATGTGCTTCCAATTGGTAAGTTTATTAGAGTGATGAATGAATCTCTTATTAATGGAAAGTGATTCAGTTTCTGTAGTTATCTAAGTAATCTTGTATTGTAGTTGGAATTAATTTGTGTTAATGAGTTGGTTACACCACTATGAGTGATGCAAATTTTAATGACAGGTGGGAAGGAAGGTGTTGAACAGAGCTACATAATTTGTTAGGCTTTATTTGTATTTGTCAGTTGATTATTTGTTAGTGTATAGATCTAGGGAAATTAGGGGAAAATATGGCTGCATTTATACAGTGTTCCATTTAAATGCAACCCTAACTACAACAGAATTTGTCAGCTTTGGTGACATTAGCGTAACAGTTGGTGTATTGTCTCATTTGGTACTTGTTAGGATGCGCTTTGCTAAATGCTTCATGAGCAGCAGCAAACAATTTTGATGCAAAATAATGTTCATGAATGAGCATGTGCTATGCTCATGAATACACTGTCTTTGCACCTGCACAGCTTTTGCTCAATTGGCATGTGCAGTGGCCTAGCAACCTGGGTGACCTTGACTTAGGTGTTATGGGGGAAGTTTGTAGAGAGTATTACGTAGGTGTTGACCTCTTTCCGATTTAATTTTTGTAGGGTTGTACATTATTGTTGTTGGTTTGCATTTTAAATGGTACACCTTATAAAAATTCTTCCTTGTAGTTGTGTATTTGTAGACTGTCTGTAAATAATATAATACAGGACATCTCTTACCATTATCAGTAGTATTGGGTCAGGCTGCTGTTACCTGTTATGCCCATAAGCTTCAATATATGTTATCCTGTGCCTACCATTTCCTTTAAGGTATTTTCTTTTATTTCTGTATGAAGACTGAGGAGCAGTGTTTCTTGCTTAACAAAATTATGCCTTGCCTAATCTTTACATTTATTTCTGTAGCATGTACCATGAATGTCATCACAAAATTGTGCTCAGTTGGAAACACATTATAAAACAACTGAAACCTGTTGAAACTTAGAGAAACAACAGTTGAACATGTGTGCCCTGAGACATGCATAGAGGCATTGGGCTTATTCCTAATCTGTTTAATGTATGCTGCACTTGAGTGTGTTAAAATTAGATATACGTATAAATCACAGTTAAGAGTGTGCATTAAACATATATAGATTCATATATCAGGTTTGTTTAATGGTAGAACTCTCTATTCTATTTGTATTTATTAATCTCTCAATGTAAAGGGTTGGCAAATGTTGGTGCAGCAGCTCTTGTGCTTGGTTGGGTAGTGAAACAGCAAGAAGAGTCATCTGCGCATTCCAGCTGATAATGTTGACATTTTATATGGGGAAAGGAATGATACAATGACTCAGTTATCCTATCACAAGAAGAGTGTAGGAAATCACAAAGAAGTCCTGTCATTATTGGTCTTCTGGTTGTAATGCTGTGTGGACTAGTTGGCAGATACTGATGTTTCAAAGAAACATACTGTCTCCATCTTCAGGGCCAGATGAAGATGGAGATGGTGTGAATATGGCTGTCTTCTGGGTTGCTGCGCTGTATAGTCTGGTAGAAGTTTACTCATATTTTAGAGGTGCTTGCTGTCTCCATCACCAGGGCAGACAGTTGCCCTTGCACCAGACTACATGGCATAACAATCCAGGACACAGCCATCTTCATACTTACTGTTGTGAGAACCTGAAATCTTTAATGGAGACAGTATATTTCTCTGAAACGTTAGTATCTTTGCAAAGGTTCAAATTCATTACAACAGAGAAGATTTACGCTGACATCTTCACCATTGTGAGAATCTGAAATCTTACAAGAATTCCAGCCAAAATTTGTATTAAGTCCCTCTTGAATGCAAGCCCAGTGCTCTATCATTGAGCAATAAATGCATAGAAAATATATTTTAGAAAGTATTGATACATATAACAGACATAGATGGATATTTAAAATATAAACACAAAATAGAAAACATTTTAAGTAGAAATTTAGAGAATTTTACTATATGTGTGTGGCATTAGGTTATTCTTAATGTCATTGTATCATTATAAGATATTTTAAAGGTGTATCATTAGAAGTTATTTTAAAGACGACACATTCACTCATACTTGCAATGTTTAGGTTTTTTCCATTATGCTGTGTAGCATGCACCCATACTTTCTGGTATTGCTTGTTTCTATTTGCATTCTTAATATTATTTTGATATGGAGTAAGTGAACATGATTCATATTGAAATTATCTGTTCCAGCCTGGAGGTTCTCCATACCATACAATCCATCAAGTTGATTTGAGTCTCGAGGGCTGGAACTACCCTATGCTCAAACAGAATCGCTCCAATTCATGGTCTGATTCATTAGATGATTTCAAATTTATATCAACAATTGTTGAACATGCAGAAGTATATGATTCAGAGAGTGAGAAAAGTGTAAAGTAAGTCCAAGATCCGCACATACACTCAGATATAGTGGAGTGGCATGCCAAACTTTTGATGGTGACATTTGCATGACACTTTCTTCAAGTGAGTTCAGTTCTTTTTGTAACTAAACTATTCATTTTAGGATACTTGAAGAAAAAAATTCACACTTATATGATACATACAAGAAAGCATATTCAGAAATTCTTCACAGGTGGAACCTTTTGGATGCACGTGCACAGGTATGGGCTTAATATTGACTTGGAAATCTTGTATATTAAGTTGAATGATTTTTATTGTTATCAGCATTAGTGGTATTTAACATTACAGGTACTGAAGTACATGACAACACCCCCAGAAATACACAGGGGTGTGGAGTTTTATTCAGAGTGTCAGTATTGCAACAGTAAAGTCAGAGGGGCAGGCTGTTTGGTCTGCAAGAGACTTATTTTTCAGTGCTCCATCTGCAACCTCTCAGTTCGAGGTGAGATCATGTGCTTATATTCAGGAAATTATCAATTTAAATTTCAATCACAGGTGGCTGTCTTGTCAGGTTTTGTGGATTTTTTCTCAATCATTCCATGGGGATCTTGCAAGAAGTGAAGACTTCTAGCGAGTCAACCATTGTTGTGCATTGATAGTGTTCAAGCTATGTAGGTTCTTATCTTAGTCTTTGTAAAACTGTGTCTCATCATAGAAGTTACTGAAAGTTCATGTAGAACTTTCTCTTTATTAGGTAGACTCCACAATAATTCTGGAATTACTTGCAACTCTATCACATAAATGTGAATTGATTTATATTTTCATAAATAATGACATTGCAGTAACTGGTTAAGTTGTGACAGTTGTACATATATTGACATATAAGCACAGTATTGAATATTTTAATTTTATAAAATTTGTAATAAAAAGTATTTCAGAACCAGTGTTCCCAGCCAGGTACAGTGCTGACATTGAGCTTCAATTACAGCACAACCTGTATTGTCCAAAGTGAACAGTAGATAATTTGAACTTCCTTTGTTGAAATTTGTATTTTTTAATCTTGATCAGTTGGAGATAATGAGGTTTTACTGTAAGAAGTGTTAAGGTGTGTTGGCTTCCATTGTTATGTCACATTAAGTATCATGACAATTGCCTGAGAAGATACTTCAAATGGGGATACACAAGATGTAATATTATATGACTACCTCTTTCTTAAATAAGGATAATAAGCATAACAATAACTGACCCAGTCCAACGCTGGAATAGCAAGTGAGCTAAAGAGTTATGCTATTATGTATCAATATGTGGTTATTCCTTTAGTTTTGTCTATACAGGACAATAATAATTAGCTTGAAGTGGACATGTCTGCTGACCACAGAGATTTTTTGTTTAATATTCTCTGTACCCATGATATTTTGTAGGATTGCTTGTCTAAATAACAAACTAGCATTTATTGTTTTTGCTGAAGTGCCTTATCACTTCACAGTTTTATTCTCCATAGGTCTGTCCAAATTCTGCATGGTGTGTGGTCATGGAGGACATTCAGATCACATGATTTCATGGTTTGAGACTGAGTCAGAGTGTCCAACAGGCTGTGGCTGTAGTTGTACGGTAGAGATGGCTAGTATGCTGGAATCATAAGGTGAGCAGTGTCTATTTTGGGAGATTAAAAAATCAGTTATGTTTTCCTTCTGGTAAAGACGTAGAAACTCGACTTGCTTACACACACTCACGCACGCGCGGTCTTTGCATAACTAATCTTGTAAATTTGACTTGTTCAGAAGCATTTAATAATATATATTTCTTCCACAATATGACATTCCAAGACAATCTTTTTTAAGCTCATCTGTTTTAAGTGTTTATTTGTAAGTGTTCTTTACAAAAAGTACATCAAATGAACACATAATGGGCCGATATGTCACTCCATATGTTTTATCTCAGAAACTACTTAGCAGATTTTAATTTAGTGTTGTTGTCTACATTGAGAGTTAACTGGAAAATTTTATGTTGGTTATCAGTCAAAAATGAACTATACAAAGCTTGTAGTGAACAAATGAATTTTCTCACAAATGGCTTGGAGGCAGTATGACCTCTGAAACGTTGGTGGAAATCTACCAGACTACACGGCGCAAAAACCCAGAAGACAGCTATCTTCAACCACAATTCACTTTATTTTTGTGGGTAGACAAACAAGTAAAACCTGAAGCTGTCATTGTTATGATGAAAGATGAGTAGTAACTTTATTTTATTATTTCTAGGATGTGTACGTTCCTTTCTTGGAAAGTGAAATCCACTGAGAATTTGTAGATGTGAATTTCGGTTGGATCGTCTACTGTTTGAACAGGCTATCACGTGTCTGACGGAAGTGTGAAGACAGTGATGAATCCTTAACTAAACTAGAACCTGGTGCAGTAATGCAGTTTTTGTGCCTGGAAGGTGCATGTTCATTTTTAATGATTAGACACCTTTCTTTACATACGTATAAAAATGGAAAGTAAATTGTTCTTATTTGCATGTCTTTGGTGTTTAGTGCTCACACATTAGTTTCCATTCAGTTATAGTAAGTAAGGTTGTACAGTGTACAAGCAAATTTTGTGCTCATACAGGGTTAATTCATAGCTAAAGTAACTGATATGAACAATGGCAGCTGATTTTTGGACACTTGTGCACATGTACTGTCACATGTTGTCATGAGCCAATCAGCTTCAGAGACTTGGTATAAAAAGTATTCAGCTACTTCAAGTGTGAAGCAGATGTCATATGTATCTCTCTCTCCCTCCATGCCACCTACCTTCGTCTGTGTTGATCACTTTATGTGTGGTATTGAATATTATACCCACTATGTTATAGGCCTGTTAAAATACAATGTTGTTTTATATTTTAATACCAAATTATATAAAAATATGATTTGATGTTCATGGTAAAAAAAGTAGTATTTTAGTTATAGATGCGGTGTATTTAGTAAGTATGGCATTGAAGTACTTTCCTGCTTTGTTTAGAACAGAATGGGAGGTTACATAAGTACCTATATAGTATATTTAATAAATATAACATTTAGAATAATAGTCTGGATTAATCAAAGAACTCTTTATACCATTGATTATTGTTAATTCTTGCGTTATGTACATGAAATGAACATGTGTGTGGTTAACCGTGTTTGTTATGTCTGCGAGATTCAACTTGAGAATCACTAGACAGATTCTGATGAAATTTTGTATGGAAATTATGCCATTGGGGCCTACCCTAAACTTATACTTCTTAGTTTCCTACAGTCAATAATATCAACAGTGTGAATGGTTGAATGAATGTTTGAGGTATGATTGGCACTCTTGCCACATAAGGGTCGTGTAATAGGTATGGTAATAGATCTTTGAAAAAATAAGTAACTTTGGTACAGTAATTCTTTTCGCATTGTAAAACAACGTGGTGGTAGCATGAAGAAATAAAAAGAATTTTGACAAACAGGATTTGATCCAGTGACTATCTTCATGCAAGTCCAGTACACTACCACAGAAGTAAGTCACATTGGGTTTTATAGTTATGGATTTACATTACATAAGGAATACATTATGATTTCATGGTATTTAAAGTTAAAAAAAGTTGTTTAATTAAGATGATCAAGTGTAAGTAAGGCATTTTCTTATGTAGGTACATTTTCTTTAAAATTAATAGGTTCAGACACATTTTAACTTATTATAGGCCATATATTGCATTATTAGTTTGTAGTACTTATAGAAACAAAGTAAAGGTCCTGCAATTTAAACATGCTGTTCTCTGAACAATCAGTTTTTGATAAACAAATTAATCAGTAGAGAAGAAAGAAAGCAATGTTCAAAATAAATACTCACATTTTAGTGATGATGTAGAAAGTAAGTAAATTGGTTTGCAGTTTGCTCCTCTTTCATCTTTATTGCTGTCTTTTTTTTAATAATAAGATAAATACATAATAGTTAATAATTAAATTTTACACTGGAAACATACAATTACATTTTTACACTGTACAGTCTATTGCTACACTTATGTGGATAATACTTAAGGTAATGCTTGTGCAGTATATGTATGTTATGGTACATTTCTTGTCAGTTAGGGGCATTCAGTATGTGAAGGTACAAAGAACATGTGGAAACTCTGTTTTCTCGTACAGATTACACCTTTCCCGTCTTGTTAATTCTGGTGCTTGACTTTACACCACTAATTTTAGAACCACAAAAATATTGGAGCTAAATACCCTTGCTAATATTTTTGCGTTCTTGATTAAATTTTTTAAATCCTTTATTGCACATCCACCATGTTTGAACATTCTGTCTGGTACCTAAACTATTATCTAGCTTCTGACTTCATGTTTATTATTATTTTTTATATTTAATTTATACATTGCATGATAAAGTATTCTGAAATGAATATATTGTGATTATTAATCATTAGTCAGTGTGTTTAAAGGAAATAATCACAATATATTATTTAGGGAACACACTGGAATGTTTTATTTTAAGACTGCTGCTATAAGCTGGTTAAGTGGCTGAAGCCTTGTTTTAGAATAGCTGTACTTGTTTGATGAAGACAGAGTAGAGAGTCTTGCCACATTAGCAACTGACATTTACACTACATTGAACATGTTGTTTTCAGGTCATTTTTATGAGGGAACACTCAGTAAAAGCCTGATGTAACAAGTGCAGCCTATAATGATAAATTTTTATGAGTTTATATGCACAGTTAATGTAGTAATATTAAACATAGGAATATTTTTCAGTTGTAACAAAAACACTATTCTCGATATAACATTATTCTGTTCCCTTTCTCCATTTGTGTAAATATACATTTTCCATTGCGGCCCGGTCATTATGTCAGTATTTTCACAAAACATATCTGACCATTTTTTGTAATCATGTAACATTACATCTGTAAGCATGGCTTAGTTGCTCATGCTGTTCTAGGTCACCTGCCTCTCACTGCCAGTGGTAATGGTCACATTGCTATTACTGATGCTCACTCTTGAATGAATAGTATTCAGTTATTTTATAGCTGCTAACTACCATTTTATTTGATTGTTTAGTATTATGTTGCATTCAGTTTCTGATATGACTGAACAGTTCAAAGGAAAGTGAATTCAAAAGTTTGCACATTTTTACACAGGCCAGACCAAGTAGGAGTGACAGTGTAACATAGCAATTTGACTGTGGAGAATCAGAATATTTATACACTTTTGCAGTGATCAGATGTGAAAAAATGAGGTTAGTAATGTGGCAGTTTGTATACCAGTTGAGTGTTATGTTCAAATTGAAACATAGACTGTTGGTTGACAGATACAGTAGAGATACTGTGTTACTGCTATGCTATGTAGACACCATATTTGTTTCATTCTTCCACCCTGTTTAGACATCATCCTTCACACTGACTTTCATATTGTGAATCAAGTGTAAATTGCTGGCAAGATGGATACACTTTTTCAGTTTTTGGAATATCTACAAATTTAATTAAAATTCTTGTGATGTAAATGGCTACATGAAATAAACCTAGTTATATGCCTTTTGATTCTGGAGGTAGATATAAAAATTGAAAATGCTGCTTGCCTGTAATTAGTATTGATTACAACGGTGTCTTTTCTGTATATATTGTGAAGTCTCATAGTAACAGACTTTTGCTGTATTCTGAACTTTACCTCACTTTTGTAAACATTGGTACTATGTAAGGTTAGAATGTTGATATATATATTTTCTTCCTAAAAACAGTATTATAGATCACATCTCTAGATTTCAGTGTTTTTTCTTTCTTATATTGCAACTTGTATGTTTGATATATTTCAAATAATTTTTCAGGATATATCTGCAAGTTATGTTATACGTACAAGAAAAGGTGCTGGTAATATAAAAGATTACAGTGCCATTTCTAATTAGTTTATTGCAGTAGATGAGAAGAAAATATTTAAGATGGTGGGTCCTTCCCCCCCCCCCTTTTGTGTGACATGTTAATATCAGCCTGTCTCACCAAGTGTTCCACAATTATAGTGACAGTTGCTGCTATTTTGCATAATTTTAGTGATTTTTTCCTTTCCTGGTGTTAAAGGCTGGTGCATTTGCAGACTATGCAGTTTGTCTTTATTTGCTCAGTTCAGTAGATGTTAAATGCTGCTTCAGAAATCCACAATGAAAGCATTGGTTTGGCTTTAGTTGAATATCCATGTGTTACTATATACTGTGGCATTCATCTTTACTTCACATCAAATGGCTGTCATGCTGTTGCAAGTTTCATGTTTTAATGTGATTGTTACACTTTTGTTTATGTGTGTATAACAGTGAGTATTAGATTCATGTGATAATAAGATCAGTGATTTTTATTTATATGCACACATAACCTAACCCTCATAATGAGTTCTAAAAAGGATTTGAGGCTTTCACAGCAGTGACTCTGAAATGCTGTCTTCTGGCTTGTACTGTAAAGTCTGGTAGAAGTTTACTGACATTTTTGCGGGCCATGCTGCCTCCATCATCAGGGGCGATGATGGAGGCAAACACAAACAAACCACGTACTTCTGCACGCTATGTCCAGAACAACCAGCTGTGTGTAATTCCATGTTTTGAAAAATATCACACAAAAAGTATATATATATATATGTGTGTGTGTGTGTGTGTGTGTGTGTGTGTGTGTGAATGTGGCATGTAAAATATATTTTTCCTCATGTATATGTACCAATTTCTTCAGGGACATTTTTGTGTCATTGTTTTAACAAATACAACATTAGAACTAAACGTGTTAACATGTGTAAGTGTGAATAATGTACAGAAAGTATGAAAGAGAACAGCATTTGTTTGTAACCAAATAATGCTGGAAAATCTGTAATATCATGTGACATCTTGTTTGTAATTGCAACAGTACAGATTTGGTAATTGAACATTATTCAGTTATCTTATTCTAAATTTGTTTTTAAAATTTGTCATTTATGTATTGTTTGTTGTTTGTCAGCAGTCTGGTTTGATGTGGTCCTCCATTTTCGCCTATCTTGCACCAATCTCTTCATTTCCACATATTTTTTGCAGCCCACATCCTCAAAAATCTGTTTCACATATTCCAGTCTTTGTCTCCCCCTACAATTCTTCCCTTCAACTGTTCCTTCCATTACGAAATTAACCAATCCTGGGTGCCTCAGAATGTGTCCCACCATCTTATCTCTTCTCGTAAGATTTTTCCATAGACTTCTTCCTTCGCCTATCCTGTATAAGACCAGCTCATTTCATACTTTATCAGTCCACTTAATTTTCAGCATCCTTCTATAGCACCACATTTCAAATGCTTCTATCCTTCTTCTTTCTGGCTTTCCCACTGACCATGTTTTGCTTCCATATAGCACTGTGCTCCAAACATATAACTTCAGAAAAATCTTTCTTAATTCCAGGTAAATGTTTTACACTAGTAGACTTCTCGTTTTGAAGAAGGCTTTTTTTGCTTGTGCTAATCTGCTTTTAATGTCTTCCTTGCTTCGGCCATCTTTTGTGATTTTGCTTCCTAAATAACAATTCCTTCACTTCTTGTACTGTGTCTTTCCCAATTTTGATATTTAATGGATCATTATTCTCATTTCTGCTGCTGCTCATAACTTTTGTCTTGCTTTTGTTCATCCATATGCCGAATTGCTCACTGAGTAATCTATTCATATCATTCAATAATTTCTCTTCATCTTCCTTCCTTTCAGCCAAAAGGGCAATATCATCAGCGAACCTTAACATTGCTATCCTTTCCCCTTGAACCTTTGTTCCTATCCTGAACTTTTCTTTCACTTCCTTCATTGCTTCCTCAACATACAAGTTAAACAGCAGGGGCAATAGGCTGCATCCTTGTCTTACTCCCTTTTTAATAAATGCTTGTCTTCCTTGATTCTCCACTTTTATGGCCACTTGATGCTTATAAATACTGTAAATAACTCGTCTATCTTTATACTTCAGCCCTACCGTCTTGAAGATTTCAAACATCTTATTCCATTTTTTTTTTATAGTTTAGATGCGTCATGTTTGTGTTTTCAATTCATACATATATTTTTTATTCTTCAAGTCTATACACAAACTATATTAATATTGATGTTAAAAATTATTAAAATTGATATAAATATTTCGCGCTATTCATCGTTTCCTCGATGTTACAATTTGCGCTATATATTACAACATGTTTCGATGTCTCAGCATCATCTTCAGGTTTTATTTTTAAAACTATTCAATATTTTTTAATGCACGCTTTTCAGTATTTGTAGATTGTAGGTTGTAGTTGTGGATGTTCCTTTTTTTTTCTTCTGATTCTTTTGCATATTATGTGGTGTATTATGTTATTTGTTCATTATTTCTGTAGATGATGCTGAGACATCGAAACATGTTGTAATATATAGCGCAAATTGTAACATCGAGGAAACGATGAATAGCGCGAAATATTTATATCAATTTTAATAATTTTTAACATCAATATTAATATAGTTTGTGTATAGACTTGAAGAATAAAAAATATATGTATGAATCTTATTCCACTTTACGTTGTCAAAAGCCTTCTCCAAGCTATTATAAAATCTCAGTGTACATAAACTAACTTTTATGAAACATGCAACAAAATTTGATGTCTCAAAATCAAACCTCAACAAATGATAGGGCAATAATACTCAATGTTTCATGATCCATTAATTCTCATAAATTGCTTATTTTCTCTGTCTGAAGCATTTAAGGAAATTGTTTCTAAATTTGATTTATTCGTAATGGTAACATTTGATGAGAACCATATCAAAGGTCACATTGGGTATTTTCAGTATATTACTAGAATTCCACTAATCACCCAGAGAGCACTGCAGTTTAGTGCTATGACATTTGTAGGTTTCTGTGGTTTGTGGGTGATGGTTAAAATGTTTATTGTGGCTGTGGTGTGTTGGATTATAGTTCCTGGATCTTAATTGTATGGCTGGGAAAAGTAATTTTAATTTTAATAGGATTTCAGGTTCTCACAGCAGTGCGAAGATGGCTGTCTTCTGGGTTGTAGCCCTGTGTAGTCTATATAGACTGCAGCATCAGAATGGAGGCAGCAAGTACCTCTGAAATGTCAATAAACTTCTACCATGCTATGTGGTGCTACAACCCAGAAGACAACCATCTTCAATTTTTATTTTGTGTAACAAATTACAACCTATAAGGAAGTAAGTTTGAAAGTAATCCAAGTCCTTATGTTTGCAAGATATTTGCCTTCTTTAAACATTTGTCATGCAACATCTGTTTTAGCTTCTTGTAGCCCTCTGTTCATGCCCCAAATGGTTTAATGTGTCATTGTATTTGACATTGGATCACAAATAGCTAAAGATAAGTTGATTTTATAACATTGTATATTTGTGAGTTCCATAGTGTATAATAGTCTGCTAAGTAAGTTTTTGTCAGTGTAAAAGACCTTAATGTGGATGGTGTTTTTGAAATATGAGTTGTTAACCTGAGAGCAGTGTGAGTATAAACCAGTTCAGAAGCATTGCATCAGACATTATTTTGGAAGTCTTCTTTATGACATTCAATCTGCAGTACAGATTTTCCTGTGCTAACAAAGTGTTCACACACATGGTTTTATCTGTCCTGGATATTTTGCCACATTTTTGTTTGACTGCCACTTCCTTGATGTAAACACTAGCTTTTAGATAGCTTTGTAAATTAAAAGCCAGGCTTTCGTGGTGGCCATACGAGTGGCTCACTTTCACCGAACCACTGTTAGACGGTATGATCCAATATAATAAAATCCTGCTCTGTTGGTTGACTGGCAGATTGATTGGTTGTTTTCCAATTTTTAATTTAGATTACTTAACAGTGCTGTTTGAACTCAGCTTGGAAGTCCTTTGTTGCTCCTTGGTTTGTGATACATATTTTAAAAATAACTGTTTCTGCTTGTATATACAGTAAGGCATAGCCAAAGTTGTTCTAGGTTGTACAGTATTGCCTCATTGTGAGGAAATCTATTTATTTGAAGTTTTAATGATGGTGTAAATAGTGTTGGACATTGTAATATGATAAGACTGACATTTTATGAGCTGTGCAGGTTGAACACAAATGATATGATCATCAAATATGTTTCAACAAAAACTAAATAGCATGCAGAAATGAAACACCACTGGAAGAAAACATTCAAAAAATGTTTTCTAGCATGTGGGAGAAGCATTGTAGCTACAGTGGTGACCATTAAGATTGCAGCTGTCAGTAAAATGGCTACTCAGCCCAAGAAAGTTTATTGTGTGCTCCAGTTCCATTCAAGAAGATCTGTGAACACTGTTCAACAGGTTTTTCAGAGAGATCCCTAAAAATCTTCCATGTGTGAATTAAATTTGCTGTCTCAGATTGAATTGCTATTTTACTGCCATGTCAAAAGTTGCACTGTTTGTAGCCTTAATTAGAGTTCCTAATGACCCATGCTACAACAAATTGTTTTGAAGTTTTCCTTCCAATAGTGAAAATTTTATTTCTCTATGCTTTTTAGTGTGTGTTCAATATTTTCAGTGGCTGAAATCATTTTTGTTCACTCTGTATAATAATATACAGAATAATCACTTAACAACTCAAAATATTTTAGCTGGAAGTCAATCTGTGATTTTTAGAAGCTATAATATTATTTTCCAGTGCTGTAAAACATTTTCAATAAATTATAAAACTGCTGTGATGCTCTTTCCTCATCAGTTTTGAACCCTGGTAAATATATACTATTTTGAGGAACTTCCTCTCTCCATTATTTCCCTGTTTTCCGTTTGGTTAATATGCTGCTTTGTGTTCTGAGTTTTGTCATAGAAATCCCCATGCAATAAAAGTTATTGAATTTGAATGTTTGAATTTGTGTGAAACACCATTGTTTTTTAATTATCTTATATCATCTGTAGTTATACTTCAGTTGTATTTAATATTTATCTGCTGTTTGAGAAGTACAAAAATCTTGGTTTACTCAAGCATTAAGCTTCACCAGCAACAATTTGTCCAATTGTACATCCTGTTTCTTCAAGCAGCTATTTACTGTAAGTGGCCCCTTCTGTCTTATAAGAAGTTGATTTGGTGAGACCCAATCCAGTATATGCCATTTCATTCCTTTTTAAATATAATTTTAAAGGTAGTATCATCCTATACCTTTCATAACACAAAATGTATAGATGTTCATAATCTCTCGCGATATGAAACTACAGTGGTTCATTATCATCACAAACAACAGAATCTGAATTTTGCATATGCACCGTATTTAAAATGTTATTAAAATATTGCTTTTAGTATTTTTCAGAGATTTCTCATTGTACATGAGTTCAGAACACTGGATCAAGTGGTACTGGAGTTACCACCTGCCCCCAAAGATTTGTAGTCATCATGTTACTGTTGATTAAGGTAGGTATAAATTTAGTGTCATGATTGTTATAAAAGGCAAGACATTCTTAGCAACTTTAATAGAAACTGGCCCCTTGATTCAAAAGTTATTAGGATTGACACTGTTTACACAGCATGCACTCTCATAGATGGAGACATGAAAGTGTTTCTGCTCAGAAACCAGCCTTAATGTCCTCTACTTTATTTGCTGAATATCATGTATCTGAGTTAATTTGTAGGCTTGATATTATAAGTAGGATTTGAGGTTTTTATGGTGGGGGGTACTAAGATGGCTGTCTTCTGGGTTTTAGCACTGTATAATCTGGTAGAAGTTTACCAACGCTTCAGAGGTCTTTGCTGCCTCCATTATCAGGATGGAGACAGCAAAGACTTTTCAAACATTGGTAAACTTCTACCAGACTACACAGCACTACAATCCAGAAGAGAGCATTCTTAATAAACTAGTTATGTATGAGAAATTCCAATAGCATATTTTAACTGTAATTAATGTTACACACAGGAGTAGAATTCTGTACTTGATAATTAAATATTTTGGATTTCAGTGTAAAGGAGATGACATGGGGACATGCACTGTGCACCATTCAGTGTTAGGCTCAAGGAATATGCACATTTTAGTACAGACCAAATTTTATAGTTTCCAAAGAAACTTTTTCTGCTAGGTCAGTCAAAGAACCATCCAGTGAAGATTTACAGAATTGATTTTTTATAATTTTCAGCCCAGGATCTTCATTTGCAGTATAGAAGATTGACAGATGTGAAGCAAATTAAGGTCAGCCCACCTCAACTTGGCCATTTGTATCCTTGTGTCGTGGATATTGAAGCAACAGAGACGAGAGATGTCAGATGATCATAGGTGAAATTTAATTTGTATTGCAATGATTCTCTTGTGCTCAAGTTTATATTTTCCTTGTGTTTGTACACACATTCAGGAAAAATGTATAAAAACATTATCATCACATGTTTGTACATTTTAAATAGAAATGTATGTCTAAATTATAATTCATGCATTGTTCACTTTGTCACAAGTAATATTATATTTTTACTACCTAATAAAATCCATGCCTGAGAAAACTGCATGAAGAAATATGGTGCGTACAACATGAAATAAATTGTTTCATACCAGTTACAATTCATTGCTTCAGTGTATTTAACATACTTTCACACAAATTACATTCTGAATATTAGCCAGTCAGTTAACTTGTACATAATTTCCATGTCAGAATATTCAAATAGTACAACATGGTTGTATGTGATTTGACACGCTTGTCATATTTGGTCCCAGTACATATGAAGGATCATTAGTATTATAATACATGACATTACACAAGAAGAAAGCTTTGTCATTTCAGACAATTTAGTTTGACCTGACAATGAGCATTCAGTGTGAATGTGAACAGAATTTACCACTTTTGCAGTTTAGAATTTATGAAGCAGTACCACATGATAATGGTTCCTTAATATCAAATGAATATCACACTTAACAAAATAGTGTTAAAGATATACAAACAAGGGTATTTATTATTAGTAAAATTTGTTCTCCTGTGAAATTTATGTTAACACCGTTAAATAGCATGCAACATGGCTAATTGATGTTAAATGTAAGAGAGAAATTCTGACTAATTTATATTCTTCCTACTTCAGAATCCGTTAATATGACATAAATTTGATGTTAAAACACCTAATAATCAAATCCATGTTAGAAAATCTTGGAATTCATATAAATGTACAAAATGTATAGCTAAGGAGTTTTACAATATAGTTTGTGCCATGAATTTTTTTTAACTCTGTGCATTGTCAATGTTGTAGAACAAGTTCCTGGCAAGGATCATATCTGTCCATGGAATTTAGGAATGTCTGTTGTCTGGCCATTTTTACTTTCTACCTTATAATTTTAAAAGTACGTAATAGGGCATTATTTTATATGTCAAGTTTGCAGGAAGCATGCCAGTATAATGCATATACTATTTGCTGGATGATTTTAGCAGTTACTGATTTATTAAAAATTTGTGTTTGCTATTTTTTACTATGCCAGGTAGTTAATGGAGGAGTCATGCCATTGATAAACTATTATCTCTTTTAACATCACGTCTTGTCAGATTGAGCTGAAATTTTCCACACAAAATGGAAAACTGAGTTTTGTCTCTTTGTGACTTCAGTTACAATATTAATACAGTTCTTCTTTAATCAGTAATTATAATGCAACTTACAGTTATTACTGAATGTTGGTAGTGATACATGTGCACACATGCATGCACGCACAATGTGTGTGTGGAATATATTTTGTACCAATTGGAAGCTATGAGCCGGCGTAGCTCAGTCAGTATAGTGACTTGCTACGGAATGGACGGCCGGAGTTTGATCCCCGACAGGGGCAGAGGACTTTTTCTCTAGCCTCTGTGACCAGACTGGTTCTGGGGCCCACCCAGCCTCCTATCTAATGATTACTGGTGTCCTTCCTCCATGGGTAAAGCACTGCCAGGGCATGATGCTGACCACTCACCCCCTTCTAGTGCCATGGTCAAGAATGAGTAGGAGCTATACCTCCTCTCCCCCCAAGCACTTACATGGCATATAATGGGACAGCTTTACTTTACTTTTACCAGGTGGATGCTTGTTTATGTAATTGTTTCTTTTATGTAATTTGTAACCAAGTTCTGTAGTGTGGAAGCTATAGCCAGTTCAAGTATCAACTTGAATATTCCTCACAATATATATATATAAAAAAAATACATGCATCCAGAAGCACTCCCCTGTCATACTTACCTTAATTTACTTAATGAAACACTTGTAGCATGTTGTCAGTCCAAACCTACTGTAGGCAAACTATTTCACTATCATCACAAAAATATTCAACTTAGTTCAAGGTCTTAGAGTAACCTTGGAGTAGTTCTTGGCATAGCTTCATAAGCTTCACCACTGCTTCTCAGTATTCTTAAAATGTCTGATTTAATATGGCATTCATATTATTTGTTATGCTGATATTTAGGTGCTGTTGAAAATTAGAATTGGTATGCTATTTCATTATCTTTCATAGTACCAAGCCAATTACGGATGTTGCAAAACAGACAGGCCCTTCCTATCATATATTTGTGTTTAAGTTAAGGTTCAGTTAAAAGTGTAGCCAATTATTATAACCAAAATGGAATTCAGTTAAATTATATGAAGTAATGATATGAAAATGTAGGCAGAGCCTTAAGTGGTTTAGTCAACAATGCTGTTCCATGCTTATCATTCATTAATCAAATATAGAAGTGTTTGTTTTGTTTCAGGCTAAGGAGAAGTTTCACATACTTCTTTTTTATTTCAAACCTGTGTATTTTGATTTTCTTTCAAATATGAAAGATTGAGGAATCCATTTTTTTAGTTTTGTCCAGTTTACCTGACAAGTAGGTGAAGATTTCCAAGTGAGTAGGTTATTACTGGAGACACCAAAGAGAAGAGGTCTGCAAAAGACAACAATGTGCTTGTGTGACAACACTTTCCCACAAGGCTCAGGTTTTTACTTTGAAGTGCAGGATATAACAATGCAGTATAAGGTGCTTGCTCTTTTGTGGTTTCTGTGTTGATAATTTACTTATTTTATTATTTAAAATTTCCCTTTTGAACAATAATGCAAGTATGAGTTAAGAAGGTTGTATTTAATGCATTTCGCAGTAATTTAGATTGTGCATGAAAAACTTCTAAATCACACTATCTTGTCTCTTTATAGAATGAGGAAAGTAGACTAGAAATGTAGTTATCATAATGGGCAGTAGAGAGCCAATGAAAATGAAACTAGTTTTCCACTATCACTGTTTCTCTGGACTTGATTGACAGTTAAGTATTCTGCAAATGAGGTGGCTCTGCTCCCATTTTCACGTGTCATTGCCTATTCTGTTACGTCTGATAGAAGGTCCTTCCATTATATTGTCCTTACAAACTTAAAGATTATATCATATTTAACTAAAAGTTTACCTCTTGTTTTGTGTGGATGGGAAACTAGTCTCTGTGTATCAGCTTCTATGAGGGAATAACATTTATTGGTGGTGTTGTAATAACAAAAAGACTGAGGAGCTGGCATAACAAATGATGAGAAAATTACATAATGAGAATCTTCAGAATTTTTATTATGTTGTTGTCAAGTAAAGAAAAATAAGATGGGTGGGATATTTGAAATATGATTATGAATCTTAGAAAAAAAATTTCAGGTGTGAACTGGATTCATCTACCAGAATAGGGTTCAGTTGAATGCTTTTGAGAACAAGGTGATGAGCTTTTCGGTTTCATGGAAGCAAGGAATTTCTTGACCAGCTGAAAAACCTTTTAAGAAGACCCTCTGCCATATATTTAAAATATTGATCCTGCTAGTGGGAGTCTCTTCATTTTAAGAGAAGTGAGGGAACAAGTGTGGCCACTTGGATGAAATCATTAAAATAATTTTTATTCAAACTCTGAAATTTCATGGGTATCTAAATATTACTGGAGGTTCACACATCTGCTGGTTATGAACAGAATTTACAGAACAATTTACCACTTCTAGAAATACTTTTACTCACTCTTTATTGCATTCCAGGAACATAGAAATTTGTCATTTAGTTAATTAAGACTTGTAATGATTTTAAGTGAATAAGAATATCTAGTATCATATCTCAGAAACATCTTGACATATGAATTTAAAATGTAAATTGGCATGTACACATACAGCCAAGGGTTGGCAGATACAGTTGATAAAATGATGCTACTGTTCTTTGTCATAAAGAGCAGGAAACTGCAGTGACCAGTTACCCACATTGTAACTCATTTATTATAGTATATTAAATTCTATTTTTTCAAATATGTTTATTAAAGGTTAATAACATTATTTTCAGAAATTATTCAGAATAAGGTTTTCAGAATAGTAACTTCATAAAATTGCACAATTCCTAATGAAGTAATTTTGCAGTTCAACCTATGAGAATGAGCTTTGAATCTCTAATGAAGTGCAATAGGGTGTACATATGAACCTGATTAATATAATATATTTTATAATTTTGCAGTAAGCAAATGTCTTGGTATATTCATATAATACTATAATGAGATTTCCTTATTCATTGTATGTCTTACATTTCACTCCAGGCATAACTGGGTACACAACTGTAGCTTAATCTAATACAGGCTGTGTATTGTCTAATATTGTTTTGTTTTCATTACAAATGAAGTATTTCTTTCTTCATGCAACTACACTTTACAAACATTTCTACAGTAATTGTTATTGCTGTTAGTGTCCATGGCTTGTGCAAGACATCAGATGCTCACTTGCATATTGCTTGAACTTTAAAACAGCAAGCACTAATGATTGTGAAGATGGCCGTCTTCTGGGACCAGAGTACACAGCTCAGCATCCCAGAAGACAGCCATCTTCATACTTGTAACTGCTAGAACCTGAAATCTCAACTAGTGTTTGTATTCATTTTGACTTTATTAACCTGTCAGGTGTATTTCACATCTTATGCATGGTCCAGCCTGCCATGGATTTCAGTAGCAGACTGCTAAATTGTTATTCCTATAATTGAAGTCCAGCTGGCAACTCTCATTCTATTCTCATATATTTTAAGGTTAAAGTATCTTGAAAGGAAGAAAATTTATAAACACACACACTTAATTACAATCTTTTAGCTTTGCAATCTTACTAGATATACTACTGTCATTTAATAAGAATATGCTATGTAAGTCTACTTCAGAAAATTCATGTATTAACATGCTACAAGAAGCAAATAAGGACATGTCTGCTGAATATTAATCTTAAGAGACTTTTGTTTCATGCAGTAGAACTTTGTGAATATCCTATTCTGTGAAGATTTAAGAATGATACATACCAAATACTTAAAATTAAATTCATCTAAAATTGTTTTGATTGAATAGCTAAAGCTCTTACCAATCTTCATAAGTCATCATTACAAGATACTTTGGACGCTATTAAGAACGTTACACGTAAGAATGTGCAGTTTTGTTTCCTTTTCTTTCATATAAATATGGAGACTGCTGACAGAAAGAAAACACTTTTCCAAACAAAATAATATAGAGGCATCACATCTGTGTGTCCAGTTTTTAACATTTACAGAGCAAAAATTTCTGTTTGAAAGTAAATTATCAGGAAGTATGTGTAGATGTTAAACTTGTACTTGGCTTAAATATTTTTGTACTTCAGTATTGAACATTCTAGTCTCACCACTGCTTCATATTAAAGTTTTTTGTAGCTGTGTTTCACACAAAATACCCGTAATATTCTTGAAGCTGTATTACACAGTTAAGAAAACCTCAGTATTTATAAATGGGTTTTTATGCCAGAACTGTAAGTAGTCCAGATTTATTTTATTTCTCTTTTGGAGGGGATGACATGTTCTTCCAACACTGAAAAGTTTCTAAAAAGCTTCTAATTTCTTAAATATGTATACCATGAGATAAAGTACAGTCCTTGCTAAAAATATAAGACACAGAAAAGCAACTCAGTTTGCAGTTTTCAGTTATCTGTGGTGTATTTTAGTCCTCATTAGCATGTTCATATCCATTCACACACACACACACACACATGCTTGTTCAAAGTAAACAGCAGACCCAATCTGTGAACATACTTTGAAGACTGCCTATATAGAGAGTGCATAAAGAATAATAATTAAAATTTATGGTGGCTTCAAACTTAATGTTAACCGTAAATTCTCACTGACTTTCCTTTTGTGTGATTGTTTTGAAAGTTCACAAGTACACTTAAATTCCCAAACTTTTTCTTTGTTTATGTTGCCACCATTTATTAAGGACAAGTATTGGGCAACATGGCAGACATTTAGTTTGTAAATGTTGTCCCAAGTAAGGACAGAAAAGAGTATCATATAGAAAGAAATAATTATAAAGTTTTAATGCCACAGTTAGTAGTACTGTGGGTCAGCATTTATGCATTAACAGTAGGTGTCAAAACAATCCATATTAATTTTGATGCCATCAGTAATGCACTACATGCTTGCATATGGTATGAGATTATCAACAGTGCAAACAAGATTGCTGCAAGTTCCTCAGAGGAAAAATCCGTATTGATGCAGCTAGTTGCGTGAGAATATGTCATCGCATTTAGTCACTGCAAAAACTTCAAGTCAAATTTTGAAGTCATTTTAACAAAACATAGATGCTTAAACTTCTTGTTTTGTAAAATTATGACAGCCTATTTATGAATATTAATATGGGTCTGAGTAGCGAAACACTGCCTCCAAATTGATGTAAAAATGTTAAACGAATATTTACCTGAATGGTTCAATGTTATTTAATTAGTGTGGCTTAATCACTTTTCTGTTAACAAAGGCAGGGTCCCATAAAGTGTGTTCTGCCTTGCAAGCATTCTCTCTTGTTATCTTTTCTTTGCCTACCACCCCCCTGCACCAGCAACCTACTTCCTCAACCCAAACACTTCTTCATTGACAGGATAGCATAATGTCAAGGCTGCAACTGAAAGCAACTTTTTTTCTACATTTTGGGATAACATATGTTTTGAACTAGAAACATATTCTGTTATCTGTAAATTATATTTGCTTGCCTACATGACAGTGATATTTGAGTTAATATTTTAAATGTGGCAGTGCCCCAAGTAGCCTAATTGGTGAGCTACTACTGATGATAATGTGGTTCTTTCACATTTTACATCTGTTTTAATTCACAAGGAATCAACTAATTAGATACATGTGCAGTTCCAGGTTTAAATACAATAAATATTCTTGTAAGATTAGAACTGTGGCAGTAAATTCTGAACAGTAGCACTGCTTGATTGCTTGAACAGAATTTTTTTAAGGTGGAACAAGTAATTATTTTGGTTTAGATCAGCTCAGTTTGAAGTATTTGTAAGTATAGAAAAAGCAAGATTGGAAAGGTGTACTTTCTGGAGTATACTGAAATTTCATATGTTTTTTGCACCATAACATGGGCAGTGACACCAACAGGTTGCTTCACTGATAACCATTGCTCAAAGAAACTGAAATTAGATCATTCTTACTCTAAAGGAATAACAGTGGCATTTACAGTCATTTTTGCAATAATGTGATCGGAGGTCATTATTGGTGAGCCTGTCACAATCTCCTGGGAATTAGGCAACATGCATGACCTTGGTTCCCATTGTAACAGTGTGCCCTCTTCTTGCATTGTTGCAACAAGGTATTCAAACAGTGTCTTGTTGCAACATTTTATTTCAACAATGGCCCCAGGTCATGCAGGTTGCCTTGTTTGAAAGGAAATATGAAGGACAGACATGGATGAATCTGTATAGTGTTCTTTTCTCATGCTAGACCATGAAGGACCCCTACAGGTATGTTTCCATGATTGATATCATATTCCCTTGAAAATTTTTTAAGTGAGAAAAATTAATCTTTGGTACCATTTTTACGGATATTGCTTAATTAAGCACCATGCCATGCAGACATGTCTGGAAGTGGCAGTATAAGCTTCATGCATTCTTAACTTCAGCATTAGATGGAGGTGAGTGGTTAACCTGCTTTAACTGTAAGGAAATAACTCTTTTCCCCACAGGATACAAGGCTGGGTGAGTGAGCCCCAAAACCAGTCTAGACAACATTATTGGAAAAAGACAATTCCTCTACTGTACCGGGACTTGAACTCCAGTTGTCCTTTATATAACAATGTTACTAATCCTTATAGAAGAACTACAATGAAGAAAGTAGCAAGTGGTGTGCTGCACGTGTATATGTGTGTATGTATGTATGCATTTAAGAGTGACTAAATGTACTGTGAAGATTATCATGCACAGTTGCCAATGTCTAGTATAAAAGAAAGGTTTCAAGTAGAAGTGAGATATAAAACCTTTAAGCAGTGATGAACATTAGAAAAAGTGAGAAGAAACTTGTATCACCTTCTTGCCTATCACTTCCTCAGACTCGTTGCACACGTCTGTCACAGCCGTGTGGTTCGGTTGTAGCAGCTAGGGAAATGAAACATTCAGGAGTCAATCTCAGCAGCTTACAACTAATCAGATGCTGGGGGAAAACAAACACTGTACATCTGAATGCAAGTTCTAGAAAGCTATGCTAAGAACTGACACTTCTAATTGTTGCATTCTATATCCCTGAGAAAACAAGATGCAGATTACTTTACTAATCACACCATTTAAATATAATGCCAAAGTGATAAAGTGGAAAGGAAATAAATACTGGTTAAGTTGGAGGTAAAGGAGTAAAATTTCATAATTTTTTTTTGAGTAGCTGAGACAGCCATGATGTACCTAGTAATATACTCGGTTTTTGTCTAATCTTTCAGACAAGTTGGAATCTGCATAAACATCTGTTAATATTGTAACAGTAACAAATCTTGACTGCTTATTTTGAATGTAAATCTTTCCTTGGTTGCATTTTGCATAATAATCAATTCAGACCACAAGTCATGTACAAAAAAAAAACAAAAAACAAACAAACAGGAAGTGTATGTAGTATACAGTTCTGGTAAGCTTACATTATTATTGCCTATGGAGTTTCCATTTCTGAATCCTCTCTTATAAATAATTCTGTTATGTTGGCTTGAGAATCCCCTATATGATTTAAAGGCAACTTCTGCATGCAGAAATGCAAGTAGCCTTTTGTGTAAAGGGTTCATTATTATTGTTAGATTTTAACTAAAAATGGAATTTTTCAACAAATTCTAGTTAAACCCCCAGATATAAAATCTAATAAAAATCCATTGACCATTTCTCATATTGTTAGATGTCGACAGACACATGGCAAATCTAATAGGCCTATTATTGCAAATTTGTTGTGAAAGCACCTAAAAATTGAATTTTAATAAATTTACTTGTATACAAATTTTTATGTTACACATGGAAGTTTGACATCATTAATTTTTAAATGTAAAACTTCTAACATGGTTCACACAGTGAATTGTTTAGAAGTGGAAAGAAGAAGAATACAGTAATACTAAGCTTTGCACTATAATTAGCATGGTTATACTGTGAATTTACCAGGATTGTGTGTGATGTATTTGTACTTCAGGGATGTCTCAAGTGGGATCAGAGACCTCTAAGAATGAGGATAATGAAAATTTTTAATATTTTAATGTTCTTTCTAAACCTGAATCTGCTACTTCCTAATTTTCATACTCTTCTGATAACTTCATATGTGCCCAGACATTTTATGTCTGTTACTAATTTTCTTTTCATACAGATACAAAAACATGGCATATGACATGATATTTTAAGTTTCTTTCAGTTTGAATCTCATTTCTACCCAGTTGGCATTTTAACCTTTAACATATGAAATTTACATTGTATGTGTGACGAAAACATTCTTATTAAAGTCTTATGGCAAATGATGCCAGTAGCATTAGAGTTGTCTGGCATACATATTGTTTGTGTGAGTGGAGTATCTGGCACTTGTCTCATTTGATGATATTATCACAAGGTTCCCCTACATTATTCCATGGGCAGGGTTCCTTTATGCTGATTTGCACAGGTAGAAATGTGCATACATATTGCTGCAAATTGCCCATTATTTTTGTCCAATTTTAACTGAATTTTAGTAAAACTTTCCATTATAAAATTTCATGAAAATTCTGAAGGTGGAATATGCAGACAGACATAGAGACATGACTAAGCTAATAGGCACATTTTTGAAAGTTTGTTGTAAACATTCCTAAAAATTAACTCAGCTGGTATTCCTTTATTGGAAGATATTTCCCCAAACCATGCAGTGTTATTTGACATATAGCAGTAATTGCTTCAACCCATATACACTATTGTCAAGAAGAAAGCCAAGACTTTTGTAAAAGTGTTATAACACTTTTATGTGGTAAAAATGTGTTAGTCCCAAGCTGGAAAAAGACCTCTTGTTTGTATTCATTCAGTATATTTCCATATATTCTATGTCTTCAGCCTGAATGCACAAAATGTAAGCTATTTATCATTGCTGAAGAAGGGAAATCCAGGTAAAGGGAACTGGACAATCGGATATATCATAATGTCTAGTAATGCTGCTTCATCCTGTGTCAGTTATATTGGAATGATAATACTGTAAAATTATTACAACTTTAGCATATCTACGGAAATTAACTTTGGCTATGAATATTGTTACAGAAAATCTCTGTCACAAATTTTGGTAAATGTACCAGTTAGGATTTATGAACGAACAAAAATTGTTTTACTATCTTGATGAAACTAAGACAAGCATTTACTCAACTTGGTTTAGAGTGGCAATGAAGTATTTTGTTCTCAGAGAAAGAATTTGACCTAATCAGAAACATGTACATTCTAGTAAACTACATCTTTTGTAATACAATGTGCATTGAAAGAAACTGTCATTTCCTAAAATATTACTCTTGTTAAAAATTAGGACACACATTTATCCCAGTAATGTAATTATACTATGAAGGTACATTAAAAGAATGCAGTTCAAATGTATATCATGCTTTAAACTACGTCAGTCTATTCTAGCCAAGATTCAAGGAGAGCTTTCAATACTAAATTCACAGACATTTCTTCAATTCAGTCACTACATACTAACATTCTTACTTTGCTGTCAAAATCAAATCCTGCTGCTAACACATTTGTTATCTTTATTGCTAATGAGTTACATATATAAATTTTATATCTACAGTATTTGGTTTGACAATTAAATAACCAGATTCTGTGAAATAAAAAAAATAATTTTACTGACCTTTTAGTGAGTATGGCCACCCCAAGGTACTTGCCTTCTGAACACACATAACTTTCAATGTATCTATCATACTGGGAATTGCTTCTTCCAAAAGTCCATTCAGTATTTTCTTCACATTGCTCTGAATGTGAGTCAAAATGAGACTCTCTCAGGAGATTTTTAATGTCAGGAACATGAAAAGTCACATTGGACCAAGTCCAGTAAGTATAGTGAATGATCCAGTTTGCTTAACTAATAGTATTGTGCAGGAAGGTGCATTGTCATGAGGTATAAAATCCACTTCTCCAGCCAAGAATTTTATTCTTTAATGAATATTCTGCCATAATCTTTCCAAACTTGAAGATAGAATGACTTGTTGGCAGTTTTGGAGCAACAGTTTTGTAACAGATGATTCCTTTGATGTAAAAGAAGCATGTAATCATGTCATGATTTTGACCTTTGATTTAAACATCCCTTTTTTATAAATAAAACACTGCATCAGAAAAACACTTACTGGAGCCTCAAAATAAATTGATTTCTAGTGACTGATAACAAAGAAATGCTAAATGATGTAATGTGATTCAACATGCACCAACTCATTGCTGGTTACTACATAAGAAGAACAGACCATTTATTTGCTTGACCTCCTAACCACTTTTGATACTAAAATAGTAATTAGAATAACTTTGCTCAAATGGTGTTTACCAAACCTGGACAATTGCCGTGAAAACAAAACTAAAAAATATTATGGTGGTTAATCTTTGACATTTTATAATTTTTATCATATCAATCAGATAATTGCATGAAATTATACTTATTACGTCATAAGTAGTACTGCATTTGTTCAGGAATAAAGTCATGAAATGTGTTATAAACGTACAGGCCTACTGAATGTGACTATATTAATAATTCAGGGTTACAGTTCTTCTCTTGATGTTTCATTAAGCAATATATAGCACAGATTACCCACTGCTTGTTTTATTAAAAATGTTATTTGAACTACATAGGTTATATTTCTGATGCTGCTTTTTCACCGTCCGCATTGACCACCCTTGTCACATGTAAAGATCTAAAATCTCCATCTTGACTTAAGTTTATTCTGTTCATGGAGTCTTTATTATGCTGCTAAATGTTTCTTATGATGCTTAATTTCCTTCAAATGTTTTAATCTGTATGGTGAGGCTAACAAGAACTGTTCACTGTTTAGTGATCCATTTCTTTACTGGTATGTAATTTCTATTTGTATAAATTCCCACTATATTAAATTTGTAATTTATGGTCTTAAAGATTTACACGATATTTACATTTTGTATACATATAGGCACTTCCTAAAGAATTTATAGACATCTTTATGATTTATTCCCATACATTATTCCACATGTCTACCTCTGGTGTTGAAAGGAGGAGATGCTTTATCAGTATTGCTTTTCAGTGGTTCAATAAAATCAGAAGGGATTGGAATCGAATGGGACACACCACCTTCTGGTATATGTGTATAACACTAATTTTTAGAAAAAGGAAAAAGTGTATGTGTGTAAAGAAAAAATCACAAAAGCTGTATTAGACTCTATTAAAGAGGTTGGTATAGAGTGCAGAGAAACCTTGTGTTCATGTCTTGTCACCAAAATGCAGAACACAATTATAATATAAACAAACTTAATGAATTATTAAAAATTATGAAGTTAAAATATTTGGGAATGATTAACAAATAAAATTTGAATTTGTGGAAAATTAAAGAGGATTTTAAATTCATGAAATTCTTTGTATTATGAAATTCAGAATCATTTGCCTTCCCAGCTTCTATTTAAAATGTAAAGATTATGATACATGAAACTATAATCTTACCTGCTGTTATGTGGACGTGAAACTTGGTCTCATACATTAATGGAGGAACACAGATTCAGGGTGTTCAATAACAGGCTCCTGAGAACACATTTGAGCCTAAGAGGGATTAAGTGACAAGGCTGGAGAAAATTGCATAATGAGGACTTATTTGTTCTCACCAAATATTATTAGGATGATCAAATCAAGGAAGATGGGAGAGGTGAGAAATGTTTATGGGGTTTTCATCAGAAAGCCTGAAAGGAAGTCATGACTGATGATTGAGGCATTGATCAGAGGGTAGTATTAAAATATATCTTACAAAAATAGGATGTGAGGGTGTTGACTGTATTTATCAAGTCTGTGATGGGGACCATTAATATTCTTTTGTGTACATTGTAATTAACCTTTGGTTTCCATAAAAAACAGTGAATTTCTTGACTAGGTGACCAAGTGTTAGTTTGTCAGGAAGGTCTGTGTTGCTTGGAGGTATTTAGTTCCAGTGGTTATTAGTTACTGGCCTCAAACATTTTATGTGACCACCATGTTGTTGTTTAACAGTTAGAAAATTAGTGTAACAATAACTGCATATTCTTCAAAGATCTGTTACCATAAAAATTTAAGACCCTACATTACATCATGCTAGTATTTCTCCCACCTCAGAAGTTAATATGGCCACCATGTTAGTATTAATTATGAAAGGAAATTAAAAAGTGCAAGGATGGGGTGGTCGCAACTGGCATGATGTTCATACCAAATTTCTTTGGAATCTGTTTGTTGGTTCAGAACTTAATAGGAGAGCAGACTGACAGACAAGATACATGCACATTATGATACTATGTACCTACTTCATGTTATTTTCATTACTTACAACATTCTCCATAATGAAAGTATGGCCTATCATGAAGATAGGGGATTCCAGAGGGAGGTTAATCTGATGCAAGGAAAGCTTGTGTTAGCTGCTATTTTATATGTTATCCACCTGATAATGGCTCATTGTATAAGGAGTTGACTTTATCACATTGACAATAAAAAACAGTTGCCCTAGTTCTCTAAGAGCCAAAATTATCTTGCATATATCTGACAGCCAACATATCTGATAGTTAAAAGTTAACCCATCCACTTGTAATTAATATAATCTGAATGTGCCCAGAAACAATGCAAAATAATATCAGACACATACCTTTCCAGCAGTCTTCTTTTAAGCTCTGGTGGATATGTCACATAAATATAATGCTCATTCTGCCCCATGTCATTGAGATCTGGCACTGTGTAAAATTCTTCAGAATAACAGGGGCCACTGTTGGTGGAGTTTACATGGTGAACTGGAGATGATGTGGCAGTGGCAGTAGTACTTGTACTAGCAACACTCATATCATCTGAGCTGAAACAATCAATTTATTTATTTTCTTGTGTTACAGTCTTACATCACAGAAATATAATAAGTATGTAGGAGTCATCAAAATGAAAACTAAAAAGCTGGGTTATATATGTACTTCACCAAAAATTGGCTCTTAGAGCTTGTACAATATATACATTAATGTATATGGATCTGCATGCAAACAGCTGTCATTAGAATACATATAGTAATATATAACTTATAAAAATTTAGTATAGCTGATGAGATAAGCATTTGAAAGAGTTGTTATCATATGTTTGTATAGTCAATGATGGTGTACAAAACTACCTGTTTTCTACCATTTTCTGTTCAAATATGTTTTTCATCCTTCAGTAATTTTAATTAATTCACACTATTTGTTTTAGAAATACTGATTTGTTGGTTATTTATGCTTCACTATCTTACTGCCTAATTATATAATTAAGGAACTAACTATATCTTCCTTGAGCACTTAATAGTTATTCTTTTGATCAAAACATTCTCTGTTACCACAGAGCCTACCATGTTAACCCTAGCCCAGGGCAGTCCATTCAGTGTCACATCTGAACAGTCTATTTCTCTAAGATCCACCCAAAAGTAGGTCATCCAAGTAGTCTCATCTCTCAATGTTTTCCAGCGAGAATGTTGAATGTGTTACCTGTTTCCTCCATATCTCTCTTTTAATCTTTTGTAGTTTAATAACTGTCTAACACGAGTGATGAATACAGATTTTCCCATGTCACTTATGTTTATTGATTGACTGGGTGACTGATTATAAGGCAGTGTCATATGTTAGTTCACAGCATCAATGGGCTTACTGCACTGCTGATAAAGTAGCCCATTCCTCTCAAATCTTCTTGTTAAATTCTTTTATGTTAATCTGTTTTCAGAACTGGCTGTTAAAAATAGGTTGCATCACCTGTGTGCTAAAGTTATATAAGAAACACAATGTAAGAGGCCATTTCTTTATTTGTGCCTTATTTGATACATATTAGACTTTTGAATTTCATAGATCACAGGTCTGCAACTTTGCATAGCTTGTCGCTATGTAATGATCATCATTCCCTCTTCTCTAGAGAATGTATACATTATAAATGTCCACTGATTTCAGTTATCTTCCCCTTTGGAAACTCCTGACATGAACTTTCAGCCTACGTGTAATTTCATAACATGCTGGTTTCTATGTGAGTGGTTCTTAACCTCATGCCTGTTCCTCAAGTTGGAGGAACAGATTTTCCTGTGCTGTTTGTAATTTTGTTTTATTTCAGTTAGAAACTGGAAGTCTGTGAATCTTTGATTGTGTTGGCATCACTTGGGTTAATTTAAACTTTATCAAAACTTAATTCTCTGACTAGTAATTTAGTTGTATATGTTTAAGTCTGTCTGAATTAATTCACTCCATGAATATGTAGGAGCTTGGACAGTTTTTACACTCTTCAAAATATCATAATGGTCTGTAATACTGTTTAACTGCATTCTAGGCTGGTAGTTCTTCAGTTCATTTCTTCTTCTGTACAAATCTCTGATATTTCAGTATTTCATGTCTGTTTACATGCCATTTACTTCATATTTTTTATATTACAGCCTTTTGTTGACTAGAAACCTAAAAACACTGCAATATACCTTTATTTTACTAATTTATGTCATTGTTTCTCAAACTATGGTTTATTTTATAAAAATTCATTATAGTATAGACTCTCTTCAGCAGAAATATGTGTCATTATACACGATTCCCCACACATGGTAAGGTATATACCATAATTTTCTTTAAATTCTGCAAATTTGTAAACTCCTGTGAGATCTTATTCTGATACTCAGTTTTATGCTCATCTCCATTCCATCAAATATAAATTGTGCTCTTATCAAATAAACATGATCAGTCTGATTTGTAATAGCATCAGGATAAGTGCTTCACATTTTAGATGTGATTTCTCTTGGATTACTGACTTTTATGTGGTCTATCATAATGAAGTTAAGTAATGTAATACTGTATGTTTTCATTTCAGTCCTCTTTATTAATAAACAGTTTCTTTGAAGTTTCTACATCAATATATTCTTTGTATCTGTTGGCCCTTTTGTTACAGTGTTACACCTTTTTTATATAAAAAAGCTAAGAAGTCATTTATGACTTACTCAAAAAGCACCCAGATGATATAGTAGCATAAACATATGCCAAGAGACAGCACCATGACAAGAACAAAAACCAGACCCCAAGGAAAGTGTCTGGTTTCCCCTGGTGTGTCTTCCCAGTACCGATCACATGTTAGGTACCAACAAACTGCTCGGTTCAGGTCCTCTGAGGGGGGAAAACAGATAACAGAGTTTCAACATGTAGATATTGTTATTTATGTGTAACATCAAAGTACCAACTTAGAACTTTGTTTCAAGTTTTGTTTTCTTGCATTCATGCAAACATCAATCAGCAATTGTACAACACCTTCAACCTCCTTAAAATCCTGAACTGATAGGTTAACCAACAAACCAGCTATGCAGTCTCGAACTAGAATCTGAAATAGAAGAAGTTACAAGTATATTAACTTTGAAGTTTGATACAATTTCATTACATGAAACCAAGTAAGTCAAAGAAGTTTACCTCACATCGCAGTTTAAGTTTCTGAAGGTCTTCAGGCTTGCAGTTAGCCTTGAGCTTTTGTAATTCACTGAGACGTTGCTGCTTATTATCAGCTGGAGGCAGAGCTGAATCTACTAGATTGTTATTGTCACACATATCTGCTGTTGCATTGTTGTCATCACCAGGTTGTTGTGTGGGCTGATTGGACACAGTTGGCTTGTCAGGAGTAGCTGCCCTTGGGCAGTGGTGGTGTTGAGGTTGAGCCGGGGGTGGTTGAGATTGTCTGTCAGGAGGGAACAGTCCTCCTCGTAATAGGACACGTGCCAGATCTCTTGGCCCTGATGGTGATAGTGCTGTTCGATATGCTGTTGCTTCACTCCAGATTTCTATATCTGTATTGATGTGAGTTGGGTCTCCCATGATTGGACTCCCCATTTCTTGAGTCATCAACACCTCACACCTCATGATATCACAATAATCAGCTAAGCAAACAGCATCCTCAGCCTGAATGTAACAAGTGAAATGATTGTAGGAACCATTATGTTATGTTTGGGATACACAATCATCATAAATAATGACATTGCTTATGAAAATCACAATAGTCTGCGCAGGTTTGGCAAAGAAAAATTCTCTTTAACAGGATTTCCAGTAATGAATTTCACGTTGTCACAGTAAACATTTTTACAGATAAGTCATTGATTACAAACAAGTCTAAGAATTTTGAAAAGATTTAGATATTACTTCATTACACGAAAATTATTATAAAACTTATTTTAATTAAATTAACCCCTGAGAGGCAGTATGCAACCAGAAACCTTTGGTGTATATGTCTATTATTATTTCATAGTATGAAAGGATATAATACCCTGAGAGGTACTTGAAATAAGTTCTGCCTGCTACCATCTATATAGAGACTGAAATTATAAATGCATTTTTGTGGAATAATGCATAACTCACTAATATGGGTTACATTGCCTGAAAATTATCAAGCAGCCCCAAATGTGTTCACTGTCCCTGTGTTTATAGCCTTTAAATACACATAATTCTTCATACAAAATTTTGAGGTTTGTGTGTGATTCATCTCCATGGTTTATCAGTTATTGCTGTAAAATAGAACAACAAAGTGAATTTACCATGTTTGGTTTGTTACTTTATATTCTATTCAAAATAACCTTGAAAAGGGTAGATGTTTTTTTAACTGTTTCACATGAGAAATGTGCTAAAAAAATCAGAACAGTAAAAATATAATTACTTCATTCTCTGTAACTATGTATTACCTACCATGTTTATTTGGTTCTTGTGCCTGTTGTCAAAGTGCATGTCCAGGAATCTCTCCTCATAGAAAGACTTTCCACAGATACCACACGTCCACTGTGACGGTCGATGCTGCTGCTTGGCAGACTGTTGTGGCCAATATATATCGCGAATGGGATGAAAAGGACATTCCAGAGGAATCTGTACCTGGTACTTCTCCAACACAGGAATCCATTTCTAGTCAGAGAAGCATACATGGCTTCAAGAGTGCTTATATCTGTGCATTCTTTCAAATTTGTAGTGTCCATTTATTATTGTCTTGTGTTTGGAATTTAACACATTTAATTACAAATCCAAACAGCCCATTAGTCCTATAATTATTCTGGTGATTACCAAGTAATTCATACTGAATTTTTGTGGCTAAACCTCTTGAAAAATGGACACTTGTAAGGCCAAGACACAGATGGGAGGATTACATGAACTTGTGATGCAAATGAAATTTGTTGTATCTATACCAGACTAATATCACCGTTAATTTAAAATAAAATTACATTTTATATGCTAAACAAAATGGTTGTATAGCATCCAGAAAGTTTCATTTTTCTCGCTATCTTTAACAAATATTATAAGTTTGTGCAATCTATTTGGTAACATTTCTGCATTGTTGTCAACTACAGTTTTATAAAGTTGTAAAGTTCTTTATAGCCCTTTATAAATTACTGAAAAACATTACTGAAAATGTTTACAAGTGTTTCAGTCTATCATATCATTTACTAATTCATCAGTAAAATACTTTCTGTTCACTGAATAATGAAACTGATTTTGTACTGCATATTCAGAATTTTAAATATCAAACAGTGCTCACCTTTTGTACCAGCTTCCTGACAACAGATGTGTGATCTCTTGGACAGGATATCTTGAAAATTGTTGGACCTGGCCACGGTATCAGTGATAACACAACAAGTGCAAGCACCTAGTCAAGCAGAATATAATGAATTCTAGGAAAATAAAATTTTGAGTGAAATGCATTTATGTATTATCTTCTCATATATGCTGATGATATTAATTTGTTTTAAAATCTTTTAATAATTAAAAAATGGGAGCAAAAATAAACAACATTTTTGTTCACAGTGAAATAAAGAGCAAATTACATGTTAGCTTTGTAAAAGTTGGCATTGTTGTGAATGCACCAGAATTGTTGTTGTGTGTACATATCCTATGTTCAAATATATATTTATTATTCAAGTCTATAAACAAACTTTTAAATTGTTGATGTTAAAATTTAAAATCACCATTAATATTCTGCGCCATTCATCGTTATCTCGATGTTACAATATTGCGCTATATATTACTACATGTTTCAATGTCATAGCATCATCTTCAGGGTTTTTATCTTTAAAACTATTCTATATTTATTAATGCACGCTTTTCATTGATTGTAGATTGTAGATTACTGTTGTGGGTGTTCCTTTGATCTTCTTATTATTTTGCATATTATGTTGCGTATTATGTTATTTGTTCATTATTCAAGAGTTGATGTGCAGTGTGTCCCCGTCTGATCAAGTGAATGTCAAGGAACACCCACAACAGTAATTTACAATCTACAATCTACAATCAATGAAAAGCGTGCATTAATAAATATAGAATAGTTTTAAAGATAAAAACCTGAAGATGATGCTATGACATTGAAACATGTAGTAATATATAGCGCAATATTGTAACATCGAGCTAATGATGAATGGCGCAGAATATTAATGGTGATTTTAAATTTTAACATCAACAATTTAAAAGTTTGTGTATACACTTGAATAATAAATATGTATTTGAATTTTGAACACAAACATGACGCATCTAAACTATATCCTATGTTGTTAAAGGCCATGTTGTAGATTTTAAAAGTCTTATTTGTTTTTAAAACATGCTCATGAATGTTACCATTTGTGTTTGTTCCTTTTTCCCCCTCTGACGAGTGACAGATTTTTAAAAACATCATTTGGCTAATTTGACATAATTAATAATTTCAGCCTTTTTAGGTGCATTTGCCTGTCATACGTGTAACAACTTGAAAATGACTGAATGTCATTCATGAAATATGATGTTGGGAAGCTGTAATGAAATTTATTGCCACATTACAGTTTTGGTTCAGATTAGACAAAAATAACCGACACAGTGCACGAAAACTTATATGTGTTTCTGTGTGTGTAAGCTACTGAATGGGGAATCTCCTGACCACTTCGGTTGCCAGGGTAAACTGGGGGATCCCCAGCTAGCAGCGTAATCACGTGGGGACAGCCTCGATGACGCTATCAACGAGTCAGTCGCGAAAGTTATGCCTCCTCAAACGACTCTGACGTCACAGGCACTGTATTTTATGTTATTACAGTCTGTGGTTTGATTAACAAAATTATAGAGTCCTGTAAATGTTTAGAACTTGTGCGCAGTGAGTGAAATGGTTTTTTTGTTATTTTTTATAATCTACTAGAAAGAGTCCGGATAGTAAGCGAGATATCTCACAGACTTTTTGGCCTTTCCGCTTCAAAGTTTCAACTTCTTACTCTGGCTGTAGACTTTGCCGTCCACACAGTGTTGAAGCAAGGGATCGATGTTTTGAATATTTTAAGATCAAGAAAGTTCAAATTCAGACTATTTCAAGTTTTCTGAGAGAGTATGTGTAGTATTTATTTCCTTTAGAAAGTCACGCAGACGTTCGAAATATGAATGTTATATGCGTGTTTCTACGACAGCACAGTTTGACCCACTGAATATGTATGGTATTGTCATTCCAATGTGTATATGCCTACCCCCTAAAATGGCTGATTTCCATTATATTAAGATTGTAAAAACTGTTGCTGTCTTTAATTCTCCATCCTCGACAGTATGCAAGTAGAGACTAAATAAGATTTTTTAGAAATGAATAGTTTTTGTTATTTAGTTGTTGAAATTATCAATGTTTGCCTGTTATTGGCTTCTTACTGTTGGCAAACACTTAAATAAATGAATTGAATTAAAATTATAAATGCTCTCGTGAAAGACACACATAGACACTTTTAGGTTTAATGACGCTAACTGATGAACTACGTGAAATATAATGCAATGACAGATTTACAGCAAACTTTACATGCAAGTTTTGTATTGGAAACACTTAGTATGACAAAGAGGTTAGTCTTTGAGATTATGGGTAGTTCTTGGCAGTGTCAGTTTTTAGAAGTCCATATTAGCAATATGTGATATGAAAAATAGATGTGCATATACTGTGAAATCTAATGTTTAATTCAGACTTTTGGTGTTTTCTTTAGGCCACTTGTTGGGAAGAACGTAGGTTATTTCCATTTCATAGATTTGTCCCAAGATGTCTTGATTTGTGAAGTGAGAAAAGCGTGAGAAAGGTAGCTTGTATAAAGTGAAGCTTTCGCGGCAACTGAAGTTGATGAAAGATTGTAACTCGGGAATCTTTCATCAAAAGTAGCTACTGCTTAAAACAAAATAAAAAAAAATGTCTATATTTTATGCATACTTTTTCACAAATGACTGTCATCAGTACATAACTCATATTGATACTTCATTGCAGTTAAACACTACATTTCTTTTAGTCTACTATTAGTGCACCAGAAGACAACTTTTTGAAAAATAATTAAATACGGATTTTATAATGATATTTTTCTCAGTTTACATGGCCCAAATTAAAATGCAGAGACTGAAATTCACTACGCTTCTCTGTAGTATACTGTTAATGGTATTTCCCAGACACCAGGTTCTTTGCAAGACTCGAGGATAATCTTCGTACGTAAAAAGTTGTCGTGAAACAAGCAATTATAGCTTGAGCAGTTACCACCACTACTAAATTTAAAATAACACGTCCATTATTCCAATGTTTACTCCACATTCATCAGTTTTTGTGAACTCTCGTTGATGATATACCGCTAGGCAGAATCACGTGTCTTTTGAAAAGTTTAGACGCCTTGTGTTTCACACTTTCATTTTGAGTGATGTCCAGTTGTACTGAGAAGGTACTGAAAATATATTGCTTCTTAATCTGTTTGTTATTTTATATATTTCTAGTTTGAGTATGTCTGTTCTCTGTTGAGTCAGATTTACAAGTTGCTCCGGCTTCAGAACTCGGCAGACACAACAAAAACATTATAGATTCCGGTAACCATTGAGTTTAAAGGCCCGCCCATGCGATGGAATTATTTGCTGTAATACCAACGAATCTAGACTACTTATTTACATTAATGGTAGTCCCAGAAAAAATAATTCAAAGAGTAAACGCACTCCTTTTATAAATTAATTGTTAAGAAGGCAATCTTATATGGCTGCAATAGATGTTAAAGTAGGCCTTTGAATAAAAATTTAAAGATCACTGATATATGTAACCGTAAGGTTCACAAGAGCCCACCACCTGATTAATCCAGTTCACACCCTCCCACTCCATTTCTTTAATAGCCTATCCATTTTAATACTCTCCTGGCATCTGTTGCCTACATTTTACCATCAGCAAAATGGTAATTTAAAATTACTAGAAATTTGATTGAAATATTAATATACAATCAACTTAAAGTTTTAAATTTGATATCATATAATTATTGACAAGTTATATGATATTAATATCTTGGTATATTAAATATTATGTTATAATGTTCAGCTGAAACTCTCTCCCATTTGTACCGGTCACATGCCCCGACCTTTTTATTCTCCTTGATTTGGCCATCCTCATAATGTTTGATAGAAATGTACAAATTAGTAAGTTCCTCGTTATAAAACTTTCTCTAGCCTCCTGTCACGTTCTCCTTCTTGGATCAAAACTTTCTCTTCAACACACTATTCTCAAACCCTGAAACTATGTGGAAGACCATTGCACTCACACTACCGTGACAACTTTAAACATAAGCTATATTCTATGTTCGTATTATTAATATTAGAGAAATTTTACACCCATACAAAACAAGACATAGAATTAGTTTTGATTGATCTTTCATCTTTACGATTTTCCATTAGCCCTACATGAGACATAGGTTTAAATATACTCATAAAAATTCATCTTCCATAGTGCATGAGGAAAAAGAGAATAAAACTGGTTTGCGTGAACTTCAATAAACACACTGCTGTTAGTAATAATTTTAGTACTAGTAATAGCGGTTAAACACAACTTATATAGCCCGGTAGGTACTTCTACAATGGAGGTTAGTTAATTTTGTTTTATGTTGCTGTACTTGATTCGTAACGGGAAAACTTTGTAGAGCTTGGCAGTGAGTCATGCAGTCACAACCGGAAGCCGGGAAGTGACAGTTGCGTTCAACTTTATCAGTGAACACACTGAAGGTTCATCGTGTTTTGTTATACCAAAATTGAAATCAGTACTGGTTTTATTTGTAGGAAACTGCTACTTGGCACATAAACTTTGACGGGGTTATTGTAGTAGCGTAATTGAGGCAATTTTTGATGTGTGTTTTAACCCAGCGCATGAAATATTAGTCTCTTTTCAAAATTTCGGATAAACATGTGTTATGCGTAAGCACACAAACAATTATTATGAAAATACAGAAGACTTAACTTATTTTCATGTTTGAACTAGTGTTCTTATACAACTAGAATAAATGACGTTGTTTGATCTAATTGTTTTTAATTGTACATATACTTAAGATAATTTTGTACATTCGATTAAAAAGCAAGATTGGACGTGAATTTAATTTCGTGTCAGTTATATATTTTAATGCGATAAATATAAGGTTAAATAGGAGATAGCTTTATAACTTATGTATTTTAATTCGAAAATTTGTTCTATGAAAACTATTGCTTGTGCATGTTTTACTCAATAATTGTGACAGTGAGTTACTGTTGTGTGGTGGAAAATATCGATTATGATTACCTGTCCTAAATACTAGATTTCTGTTATCAATAGATGTCCTATATGACATGAATTAATATGTAATTTGGTTTGAGAAATTTACTAAGGTTTTTAGAAAATATTCAATTGCCATGAATAATCTCGAAATAG